GTCCGACCCCCTCCCCTCCACACTCCCTCGCGCGATTTACGTACCCTATTGCCGTGCTGCCAAAACCCCTAAAATCAACAATCAAGCCAACGAACCAAAATAAAGTAACCAAACCTAACCTAACCTAACCTAACCTAACCTAACCTAACCTAACCTAACCTACCCTAACCTACCCTAACAAAAAAAACACGAAAAATACAAAATGAAAATAAACAACAATAAGAAAACGGAAAAGAAAAAATGAAACTCACCTAGTCATTGCAATGGAAAAAAAGTTGCAATGTCAGTTAGCATTTGTTCGAACAAATCCTTCCCGTGATTGACACAAACGAAACATGACGCACGCACAATGAAATCAGAACTAACGCAAGTGTGACGGGCAGTTACTGAATAGACTCCGCCGCTCTGAACTTTGACCGAACATCACACCACCGACCTCACACATTCTTCCTCCCTCCCCACCCATCATTTTCCGGCTGCAGTTTGTTTACCCGTTTTGCAACCGCACTCAACCAGCCGTCCACCTGAAGCGTCCACCGGGTGTCTCGAAAGTTGATCGACAATATTGCCGTGGTGGGGCGCTTCTACTAAAGACCCGAACGATCTTGGTTTCTGCTTGCAAAATGCAATCCAAATATGAAGGCAAAATCTAACGATACGCAAAAATTTCCGTTTTTAACTGTCTCCACGTGACAAAACTGTGTGTATCGATGAGTTTTGTCAAGTTTATTTTTTTTTCTACACCTGGCGGGCAGTGTGGCAGTGCGGAAAACCTGATTGTATTGTAGCCAACGTGACGTGAGGTCATGCCGTCGTCTCCCACACGAAGGAACGTAACTCTATTTCAAGGTTGCCAAATTGACTCAAACAATTAATTTATTTTACAAAAATGTACGTAAGCGATTTGTGTCCAAAATATCTCTGTTTTTTGCTTGGAATCTAGAGAAAAATCAGGGAAATTTTCAGTCAGAAATGCCCAAAATTCTCGTGGTTAATAGGCAATTTGTGAGAGGAAATTTGGCAACATTGGAATGGAGTTACGTTCTTTCGTCCGGGAGACAACGATGCATGTCATGCCGTTTGTTTACCTGTAAGGATTTGTTAATCTCTGCAAGCCCACTCAATCGCTCGAAATCCCTACGTGTATCATCTTCATACCTTAATAACATGTTCACGTAAGCGGAGAAATATTTGCCCAGCATTGGCTCATTGTTCTTGAATAGCTTGTAAGTTTTATTGTTTGAGGAGGTCTATTTCGCATGCACATTCCAATTGTACACGAAACACTCCTTTTAATGCCAGTCAATACTGGTAAAAATTTTCTTGATATATTATTTTTCCTTAAAGATTCGTTTCTTGTCGACAAAATGTGGTGTTCTTAACCAATCCGTGCAAATTCAACTCAACAACAGTTTTTTTTCTGTTAAAAAAGCGTCATCTCGTCATCGTTAAGTTTAAGTGAAAAAAACGATACCAAAACGACGTTTCTTTAACTCAAAAAACTGAATAAAAAATCACATTGTGTTGACGAAGAACGACGCTTTAAGTCAAAACAATATCTCACGACAAAAATGTTTCAGTAAAAGCCTGGTCCGGCATTCAGAGATAGAGTGATTCATTCCATTGGAGTTGGGTTTCATCTCGTGATACAACTATTTTAACTTGAGTGTGTTGCACAGTATCTAGTGAAATTGAAGGCGTTTTTAATCGGCGCGGCCCACGCGAGGTGAACTGCGCCAGGATAGCCGGACTTGCTGTTGGTCTTGTTCCTGCATCGTCCACCGTCATCTGGTCTCCAGCGTCTCTAGATCTCTAGTCTAACGACCAATACAAATCAGGAAGGGCGGGGAAGGGGCTTTTTAAGCGATTAATATATCATGAAGGCAAAGGGAAAAGCAAAGTCAACATCGAGATCATCGTTTTTGCACGAAACAAGAAATCTTCTGCAGTTGTTTACAAATGAAGAATTAATTGTAATTGGACCGATTTTTTTTAAATCACGTAAGCGCCAAAATTGCGAATGCGAAAAAAACAAAAACAAAAAAAAACAAAACAAAAATAAAAAAAAAAACAAGAAAACCCGTTTCATTCGCTTTGTTGACAATTTTCGAATTCCAAATAATGTATGTTCTTTTAGAAAGCTATTTTGAAATCAGACACGATTGATTATATCAGAGAAAACGAAGAGAAAACAACCCTTCTACCACCGAAATAGAGATTGGCGCTCACGTGTTTGGGAAAATAATCGGTTTGACGATGCTGGTTAAAATAACGCTTATTTCGAGTGTTCTGAATGTAATTTGAGACGGAGATACGTTGCGACGGCTTGGCGTGTGTTGAATGCAACGATCTTGGATTCAATTTCACGTACTAAAGTTCCAATGATACTTCAGAGCCGAGGCAACATGACAACGTTGGATGTAAGATCAAAGAAACTTCCCTATACGGGGGCACTACTCGGCTGCGTCGCGTTGACTCGATGAAGAAGCACGCGGCTCGCCCGGAGCGGATGTTCTCGATTTGAATTATCGGTTTGCTACAGAGAGCCACTCACAAAGGATACTTTTTACGCCCACACAACACCGCGACTGCCGAGATCGCAGTCGCTTCTTTGCGATAAGCAGCGTGCCCTTTCGCAGGAAAACTCCCCCAGCGCAAGTTATGAGGGAAGGTCTCAGGGTCACCTCCTTTGTCGCATCGAGACGTGAATATTATTCGAGCAGGCCGGCAACTACGATCTCAGGAGGAGGTGTTGGATATCATTTCCTTTTGTTCCTTCGGAAGTAATCCTTGTTGTTTAAACGCCAGAGTCAAAGAACGATAGACAAAGGGGCTCAGCTAGGAAGGTTGTCTTGTTTCTCCTCTTGTTTCTTTGCGAATATTCATGAGACCTGCACACATATTCTAAAAACCGAAAAAAGCTTGTTGATTACTGTCCGAAAATTGTTCTGGATTTCAAGTGAGTCTCTCGTCTGAATCTTTTTCCTCCGAAGGTAACAAAATGTTAAACGCCCCAACTGATTCTTGTAATCGAATATGAAAATCAGTACAAACGATTGTAAACTGTTAACAGAATTTCCTCCAAGGGATTTTTCGACCCAGAAGTATCTTCCAATTTTCGGTTTCAAAGCTCAATTAGAAAGCTTTTAAGAGGGGGTATGGACTGTCGGGACAGCATGTATTTTACGCGGTGGTACTCATGTTGATTAGAGATTATTACTCTCATTCCGCTTGTTAAAACATCGACGCTGAAATCTCCACAAAAGGCTGTATGGAATACGAAACTGTATCTTTTGAGTGTCAGGTGCCCAAAACGCCTCATCAAAATCTGATGATTATAAGATTTTCTGTGTTCTCTTTGCCCCCTGTGTGACGTAATCTTCGCAATACCGCCAGGGCATTAGTTCTGTCACCTTTTTTCGTGAAGATCATGAGTATTCTCCGCGTGTCCCTTTTTGGACTAATGAATCCTATTCCAGGCTTTGAACCCCAAAACACCTCAACAAGTTTACTCCTCCGTCTTCCATGCGCGGCTTGTCATCATGTGTAGAGGGATCTTGATTGAATTGAGCCTCCTCTGTTTTCTTCAAGGAAAAGTTATCAACCAGTGTTCCTTGTGGAAGCTATTCCCGAGGCAGCGGGGTCGAGAAAAAGTAACGCCCATCCGTTAATAACTTTTCTCTTGGTATCAGTATTCATAACGCGCGTTGATGACGGCGCAGAGATGCAACTATTCGTGTTTGATGAATGTCCGTGTTGTATCTGCATTATTGAAGGCGCGAGGTCTGAACTCGCAATTCCGCTCAGATTCAGGAGATAAGATCGATTCTGAGACGGTATCTTAACCTAAGTTGAAAGGAGCCAAATACCAAGCTGACAAGATCGAAAAAGCGGAACTGAACTTTTGGCGTAAAGTTCCATTATGAATAATCTGTGAAATGTCGCACAATGAATGGTACCCGTGAAAAATTGGACCACATTTTGTAATAAGGAACCACTATTTCTGGCTCAATTAAGGAACAGCATATATGCCATTGTTTTCCTACGCCAAAAGGCGCTTTTTATGGAAGAGCCAGAGATAGTGGTTCCTTATTTCAAAATACAATCCGACATATGTGCGATCCATTGGATTGCATTTTGCCAAAAGGAACCAAGAGCATTCCAATGTTGTTAAGATTATGCGATTTTATTTTACCTTACAAGTGTAAACTGATCATTGAAACCAAGTTTTATCTTACCTCCCAATAAACTATAAATTCAAGACGAAAATGAACACAATTGTGATAAATGTCAAGTTGCACAATCCTATCAACATTGGAATGTTTTTGGTTCCTTTTCGCAAAATGCAATCCAACTGCCGTGCGATTTGCGATTATCCCTTTGTAACAATTAACTTTATAAACGTTTAACCAATTAATAGCATGTGATTGGAATCATTGAAATAATTAATCCATTAGTCAGACATTACGGCTGTGACCTTAAACTCGCGGACAATTTCCGTCACGAGACTGTTAATGCGCCTTTCCGTGTTTAATACACAAACAATGAATTTGTCAACAATTAAATCACATTTTGCAAGAAGGAACCACTCTCTCTGCCTCTCTCATAAAAGCACATATATGCAGAGGAAAACTAATGGCATGTATGTTGTTTCTAAAATGGGCCAGAAATAGTGGTTCCTTATTGAAAAATGTAATCCAAGGGTGTGCGATGAAAAATTTGTGTAATGTGTCCATCGAATTTAGGTCAGTCAGGCAGTGCAACTGTGGCATAAATTCTCACGCCATTACTTTTGATACCGCTGTTTCGAAGGAATGCAACTCTGTGAACATCAATTGGACTGCATTTTGCAATTTGGAACTATAAATTCTGGCCCGGTTTAAAAACAACGTACGTGCCATTAGTCTCCGTGTGCACATACGTGTTTTTTCAGATGAGCCAGAATTTATAGTTCCGAATTGCAAAATGTAGTCCAATTCTTTGTTAACGTACGTACTCACCGTTTGTAGACTTGAAGCTCCGCGGACAAACCACCGGCTATTTTTTCACTCTCCACGATTCGAAAGTTAAATTCATGCGACTCAGCTACCAGCTGCTCAACACACTTATCCTTGTTCTCGATCGTTTTTCTCAAATCCGCTATCTGGGAACATGGAGAACAATTACGAATCAATCATTCGTTCTATGTTTACATCGGAAACTTTGAGTGGGTCTCAGCAACGTGACACACATAAGTTATGTACCTATGTAATTCTTATTGGGATCGTTCACACAATAACCTATGCAGCATTTCATAACTAAAATATCGCAATATTTTGAAATGAAGCTGCGATTTTCGGCGATAAAATCGATCGGATCATCAACATCTGAGCAATTATCCTCAATAATGACGCAATTTCATGTATGTTTTATCGCGTTCGAAATTTCATCGCGATTTATCATGATTTCATTAATGTCCCTCTTGGGGATTACAATGTGTTGCCCGTACAGAAAATTAAGCAAATATTTTCAGGTTTTAAAAAATACGAGATAGGCTTGTACCTTCTCTCAACTTCATTGAATTAATGGAATTTTTTCCATACTGTTATTTTTTACAGTTACAAATCCCCGTGATCCCTTGGAAGTGTGTTTTTTAAAATTAAACCGTTGAATTTTATTTGAAATACGTTAATGTTGTGCTTTCAATGGTGCTACGTTAAGGATCTCTTTAAACCTCACTTAAACACGATGTGGCGCCCAGAGGAGCTAGTTAAAGGACAGCTATGAATACGGTCTTAAAAGTACTACCAACTCAAGTGCTAACATAATATTAAATTGTGTTCCAAGTGGAAAACTAATTAGTCGTGGATGAGAGAAATACCGTCGCTATTCCCCAATAACTTTCACACTTGTAAGAAAATATTTCCGATTAGATGATTCTCATTTGAATTACTATCATACACGCAGGAAAAATACTTCGGGTCCTATTGAACCTTATCGATTTCAGTACAGTACTCGTAGCAGTTGATTTTTTTTTAATGAACAAATTTCATATTCAGAGGATGAAGGATGTATGTACTTTGTAGTTTTTCATAACAGCAATTTTCATTCGATACGTGAGAAGGAACAAATTTTCGTCACATTTCATGTCTCATTTCGCTCCTTTTGAAGATCAATATTTTTCGTCAGTGTCCGCTATCATAATGACTTGAATCATTCTAAAGTCGGACTAATTCGACCAAAACAATACATTTTTCCCTAGCTCCCTTTGAAGTGAATGACCGGACCGAGTTAAGTCGTATTAAAACGGCTCTCCCACGCATCAAAGCGTTTCAAATTCATGGGATTAATTGAAATCAGTCCAAACCCTCTTTTTCACTGCGGCGAGGGCCATTTTGTATCAATCAGGTATTTCATCTTTGTTTCGACCGGGAAAGATTTTCCGTCATCCAGCTCAGAATTGAATGAACCCGTTTAAATAGCCTTCTAAGCTCATAACGTTAAACTTCAAACGGGCGGATGGAATGCGGTGGAGCTTCATTTGGACGCATCTATGTCAAAAGGATCTATGTTGCTCGCAAACCTTATGTACATAGTTCCGTTTAGCATAAATACGTCCATTTAACGAGGGTCGACCTTTTCAAATGAAGTAATACCTTTGGTTACGTAGAGATCTACCGTGCTAAGGAGGAACGTCGTTTGAGCCTTCAGACGTTGCCACATTTCCTTCTAGAAAAACCAAATTTACTGAGTGAAGTGTGTATATTTTTCCTCAAAATTCGCAGTGATTTTTTTTTTTACGATTTAATTTAAAATATCTGAAAATTTCAAGGAAAAATATGCATAGATTTCTTCAAAAATAGATGTTTCATTCGGGAAAATTTGGCAGCTCTCGAATGTCCATGCGGTGTTTTTCCTTAGCATGGCAGAGATGTCGTCAGTGTAAAATTTATATTCCCGATTCCGCGGAAGCAAAGAGGGTTGTGCATGATGCATTCATCCGTGAACCTTCGGATTCCTCAGAAGCACATCCATCGGACGTGGAGCCTATGATCCTATCCCTCGTTCGACTTCATCACGAGGGTTTAGCCTGTCTGTTCCTCGGCCAAGAATTAATTAAGAGCAGGAGCGGCTCAAAAATAAAAGCACAGCTGACGGGATTTCTCCGGAAGACCCGTGTGTATGCCAGAAAAAATCCAATTGTGCTATCGAGTGATCTCCTTCTATCAGCCTCAGTTTGATCCCCCGTTCATTAGTTATCTTCGCTTTGTACATCTGACCCAAAAAATTTACCCACCAGAAGTAAATATTCCTGAGTCTTTTCCTTTGATCTCAACATCGGATTTTATATCTTCCCCTTTCCGGCCGAAGTATCACAAGCGTCATGTGACGTTTGAAAATTTCCGGCGCCGTTCTATTTTTTTACAGAGAAATTTTTCGACGAAGCTGTCTGAAAATCTCACTGAATTTTCTTTGTGCTGCCAATAAAAGTCGGCGAAATTTTCGAATAGATTCAACCAACAATTTCTCTGTAAAATACTAAAATGACGGCAAAGATTTTTAAACGTCGCGTAGCGTTTACGATTTTTTGGCCGGAAGGTGACAATATAACCTCGAGAAAGATGTGTTTTCTCGATAATCCTTCGGGATTTTAACGGACGGATCCATTATCACAGTATTTAGTCTTTTCTGTCTCTCCTTACCTCTTTAATTAGACCATCCTTTTCGTGCTGGGCATCCTGCAGCTGTTTCTTCAAAGCCAAAATGAAGAGGTTGGCAGCATCCATCTTGTTTTTCAGATTCATACTTTCCTTTTTCATGATAGCAGTCCGATTGTCCGCCCGCTCCAGGCATTCCCTTTTCAAATCCAGCTCCTGCGGGGAGCACATCAGGGATGAGTATCAATTGTTGCTGTGATAAATTCGTCCGGCGGCTCAGCCATTGTATCGGGAAACAATCCCGCAACAAAAGCACGAGCCACCATTGCCGAACCTTGACCGAAACTCTCGCATTATCGTTCCGAGTGGCCCGAATTAATGCGCCATAACGTGAGAATTGATTTTTCGAATCCAATCTAGACCTCTGCTGTCGGAAAGTTTCTCTGACAACTTTTTTTTTCGGCGTTAGAGACCATGAAAGTTGTGGATTTTTTTTTATCAAAGTTTGTTCAAAGCTACTTCTGTTTTTTTGTTGTTCAAATCGTCAAAGATAGGGGAACAATGGGGTTCAGTGGCGTGGCGAGCTTTGCAATTTATCGATTGATCTGCCATTTTACCCATGGAGAAATATCGATGATCGATCATTCACGCCTCACCACTGTTGGGGTTTGGGAGACTTTTTAATGCTTTTCATTTCTTTTTGTTTTAAAAGTGTGAGCCTTTTTTTGAAGTTTTTGGAGGCAAAATCTCCACGTTAAAGTAGTCACACCAATTAACAATGTAGAGATCTTGCCCACCGCTTTCCTATCAAACCACTAGCCTTTGAAACCAATGTAAATGAAACACGCGTTAAATATTTACTCCAGAGACCAACTTTCTCCAACATTTTACTCCTTAGAGAAAACTTCAAGGACCGACTACGGGGGACAAATCCACAATTTTAAGAGGCTCCAGCGCCAGAAAAAAAATTCTTACAAATGACTGTCCTAAAAGAGGAAAAATCAATGTTCCCGAAGTATGTTGCATTAAGTTCCGGGAACTCTGTATGATTTAACTAATTTTAATGCCTAGTCAGACAACGCTATTGGAGGGTTTTGCATTCAAGTGCTATACCTGACACGATCGCGTCGTGAAAAAGGAGAAAAATCCGACGAGTCTCTTTGAATTACCCCGTCCTCTGCCGCCAGGCGATTCTTTGTCTCGGAACAATTAATTGAGAAACTTTATCACAACTTCATAAATTATCATTCAGAATTAATTGATACCACTACCCTTCCCTTCCAGCTGACTCTAATTGGTCAAGATGTCTTGTAGTAGGAATGTCTAGCTGTACTAGACCTTTACCAGACAGGGTTATGCTGTATCTCCGTTTTGTGATTCTGCAATGATAACGAGTCACTGGTCGGCAGTGCTTCTCTTCTAGTTGAGCTTGATAAGTGGACTTTTCTAAATATTATGACAAACTTCGTTTCTCAAAGCCAAATCTTTATATGGCGGCAGGAATCGGTAAAATCAAAAGAATTCGGACAGTGAGTTAGAATTGCGTGAGCACTGCGGCATCAATAGAATAGCAAGTAATGGGCCAGTTGCAAACTTCAGCCAGAGGAAAAAGATGAGTTATTTTTTTTTTTTTTTTTCAAAAATGGCTCAAATGTGCGCTTCGAGAAGGTCTGAAAAACACTCCTAACTTCACAATCTGCGTAAGAGATATGCGTTTCTCTAAACTACGGTACAGTTGAACATTTCGTGAAAGGAGTCGTTCCATCCAACCTTGCCCTCCTGGAAGCTACGCAATATTCAGCATGGCCGACGCCAATTTTCATCATTTTTCAATTACATCGAGTCAAAGCGATCCTTGATTCTCCGATTTGAGCGTGCATTACATAGTATGCATTGACTGAGTCTAGGTAAGACTCTGATGCAGCCAAAACGCCTTCAGATTCTTGTCTAGGCAATACCGCGTCGCTTCAGTGTTCAAATAGTCGCATCTCTCGAATTCCTATCGATCCGTAGCAAAATCTGACTCGCCGATCTTTTCTGAATTATAAAATGAACTACATTTGAACGTATGAACGCGCTAAAATGAACAATGTATAGATTAATTAAATGGTGAAAACAATGTGTAAAATGTTCCGGCGCTTCGTAATTCATTGTGATGTAATGCATTTACCGTAGTTTCTTTTAATAAAAAAGAGTTCATTTTGCGACACGTACCCACTAACTAAGTTTAGAACATCACGTACTGTCAGCTTTCTTATGCATGGTAGGAACTTTTATGGGTGAATCGGACAGCATTTTGCCATTTGGAGCTACATTTTTCGACAAAGTCAGGAACAGCATATGTACCAGGTACCTTTAGTTTCCCCTTGTACATACGACTCCTTACATAAAAGCCAAAAATTGTAGTGCCTTATAGAGAATTTGCAGGTGTCGGTTTTTTTAATTTTATGTTTAAGAAGAAACTACTAAGTGAATTGAGCGTGAAAATATTTTTAGTCTCTAAAATGAGCAATTCTTTGAGGAGATATGACCGAATTACCTAATTGCTAAAGTACATTTGTTTAATCAAATAAACACAAATAAACGAAGCTCATTAAACTCTCTCAGATTTAGCGATGCATTTTTTTGGTGCGAAGTCTCCATTGCAAAATGATGTCCGATTGAGCTCAGTCAGGCAGTTACAGAAGTCAGAGCAACCAGCCCACTGGTCGTGCTGGGCTCATAACCCATGGGAGTAACAAGTAAGTGAATACCACGAATAGCGAATAAAATTAACTTTTATTACTCGGGAACAAAAAGAAAACGCACTAAGACGAACGGCTCACGCCATGACATGAAGTAAGGGCTACCGCGGTGGGTAGGGTCGCAACCAGGTGCCACTGAAAAAAAAAGTTCGGTAAATCCGAACTAGTTAGGAATATATGGAACCACGATTTTGTTCGGTACACACGACCGAATTATTCGGTCTGCTCAGCCGAACTGTTCGGTCCACTGAACCGAACTGGAAGAATTTATTATGGTTCGGTCGCACAAACCGAACAATTTGGTTGAACAGACTGAATAATTCGGTTGTGTGTACCGAACGAAACAACATTCCATATGATCCTAACTAGTTCGGATTTACCGAACTTTTTTTTTCAGTGATGCGAGCCAGGGGCTGACATACCGCCAACTTAAACCTACAATAAATACGTTTTAAAAATAGGTCAAGGCGCGTTACAGCGACGAATCCCTTCGTGGAAAGTAAAGGAACGCTCCGATGTGGCAACCCGGAAGACAGCACCTAAGGATACAAGGATTATACGATCCCACCGCGCTCCGAATGAATCGCTCTCAAATCTTCGCTGCCTCGGCGTAAAGCCGTATCTGGATAGCAGCTGAGCCCCAAATAGCATGGAGTTATACGGAAGACAGGGCTCAGCTCAAAATTAGGTTACGCCCTTACGTCAGAGCAGTGACGAAATATTGTCAAGTAGCACGAAGTGTTTTAATCTCGCACTGAAATTCCCAGCAGAGACCAAAAAATGCTCAAGGTTCGGCAGCCCCGAGGGTCGTTTTCTGAGCTTGCTTTTAATCAACTCTGTCGTTGCCAAATAGTGCTATGAAATGAGCATTTTTACATTGAGTTGTGAAAATATGGTGATTTTCAGAGAAATCTGGCGATTGCGATCAACTGCGTCTAATTCTCAATGACTTAATATAATTTCGAATGTGCTACGGACGCCTTTGAATCCTTGTTTTTCTTCGCCCAACCCTTACTGAATCGCTGACTATCGCTCACAAGTTATTAACAGATAGAGGAGTGTAGGAGACGTACCTAAAAGGAATAACACAAACGCGTCCGCCTTCTCCCTATGGCATTGCAGTAATTTGCCGTAGAGAAAAAAGGAGGTGTTAGCATCTTGAGGATTGTTTACCCCGTAACGTAGGTCGGTACAATCCGGCCGGCAAAATGAGGAATTCTCTAAATGAAAAATGGACCGTAACGTCCGATTTTTTTTTTTTTTTTTTTTTTTTTTTTTTTTTTTTTTTTCGTAAATCATCTCATAATACAATTCGAAACACTATCCATACAACGACTTTTTTCCAAAAAGTACATAATTTCCAGGAAAATCGTCGATAAAACTCGCTCGTAACGACCTATACGTCATTAAAAAAATCCAAGATGCCCGAGATGCTGACACCTCCTTTTTTTCTTTATGGTAATTTGATAAAATAATGATATTCTGATCCCTTATAGACGGTAAAACTCCAAAAATGAGTATCTTGGTTGCGCTGTCTCAAAATCTCTGCTCCTATTTCATTTCTTAAAAGAAGACCGTACCACCATCATGGCTTGATTTTCAAGATAACATTCCACAGAGAGGAAAGAAATCATTGAAATAGTTAAAAAATGACATTCAGTAGTAGTTGTTTCGGTAGAAAATAGAGTCCAAAGGGAAGTCTGCAACGCCGCAAACCGACAATACGCAATTCTGCAATTTCACCATCAATATTGATTTTGAGATCGAGGAGAACATATCCCTACTTTCGAATCAAATTTGACTATATGCATCAACCTAGCATTGAAACGTTTAAAAGCCACAAAAAATATCACGTGAAATGCACAGCTCGATAGCAGTTTTCGCACAACTGAGGAAGCTTCAAAATCACGTAAAATACAGCGACCTAGCACTGAGCCCCATGAAAGTCACAAAAAATATCTCGCAAAATGCACAATGGAATTACCGTTTTCGCACCTCTGGGAATCTTCAAAATCATTTAAAATACAGCGTCTCAGCATTGAGTCGTATGAAAGTCACAAAAATATCGCGCGAACCGCACAACGGAAACGCCGCTTTCGCACCCCTATAGTAGGAATCTTTGAAATCACGTAAAATATAGCATCCTATCATTGTCCCGTAAGAAATTCACAAGAAATATCGCGCGAACCGCACAACGCACGGGATTACCGTTTTCGCACAACTCAGGAAGCCTCATAATTGTGTAAAACACAGCGTTCTACAGTTGAGTCGTTCGAAAGTCACAAAAAATATTGCGCGAACCGCACAACGGGATGACCGTATTCGCACAATCCAGGAAGCTTCAAAATGACGTAAAACGCAGTGTCTTAGCATTCAGTCGTATGAACATCACAAAAATATCGCGCGAACCGCACAACAAAATTGCCGTTCTCGAACAAATCAGGCTTCAACATCGCGTAAATCACAGCGTTCTATAGCGTTGAGTCGTTCGAAAGTCACAAAAAATATCGCACGAACCGCACAACGGGATTACCGTTTTCGCACCCCTGTGAATCTTCAAAATTACGTAAAATACAGCCTCTTAGCATTAAGTCGTATGAAAGTCACAAAAATATCGCGCGAACCGCACAACCGAAACGTCGTTTTCGCACCCCTAGTAGGAATCTTCGAAATCACCTAAAATACAGCTTCCTATCATTGAGCCGTATGAAAGTCACAAAAAATATCGCGCAAGACGCACAACGAATTTGCCGTTTTCGCACAAACCAGGAAGCTTCAAGATCGCGTAAAACATAGCGTCCTAGAGTTGAGTCGTTCGAAAGTTACAAAAATTTTCGCGCGAACCGAGGGCCCCGGCCGCGATCGCGGCCTAGCGGCTCTGGCCAGTCCAAGCCTGAGAAGCATATAGAGGTCATTCTTTTGAGCCAGTTTTGCCATCGGTTTTGTTATTCTATCCGTCAAAACTGAACAATGTATTCTCTTCTGAGCGCAGAACTCAATAATTAGCTGGCCACCCTTAACAATACCCGGGGAATCTTCTCTATTCGATCAGCTCCTATGTACGAGGGGCGTTCAATAAGTAAGTATCCCCCCTCTCTAAAATCAATAAGAATGTACCAATTTTCAAAAACTTGGGCTCAAAATCCTCCTTAGGATATACTGAGTTCAACAAAACAAATCGCAACAAAATCGGACCATGTGCGGCCGAACGCGAGCCGTTTGAACGCGCCGAGGTGCACACCGCTCCCGCCAAATCCGCGGAAATTTGAAGTCCGCGACAAGAGAAGAGCCTCTCTGCCAACGCTTCAGTCGTTCATCACTGACGAAAAATACGGTAATAAATGGCAAAAAAGACCACTATTAATTCCCTTTTCTGAAATCTGAACTGGGGGAGTTCATTTTGAATCAGCGGAAGAGGTCAAACAAGCCGACAACACTTTCATCCCCAGCCAGTTGAAAGACCTCTACACGCGTGGTATCCAAAAGCTGTTCTCTTACAAGGGGAACTTACGGACCTGCCGCCTCCGATTGTGCTGAATTTTTTTTTACAGACTCTATGGACCAATTCTAGAGGTCAACTTGAGCCGTTTTCCCGAATGCGCAATAGGAAGGGCGTAAAAAATTCCCAAAAGTTGCGTTTTCGGCGTGTGATTTGGTCGTGCGGCGCGTGGCAACACTGAAGCAGCCTCTAGTACCCCTTTATCGGCCGGAAGGTTTCAGCGAAGTCCGGAGCCCTACTGCACACGTACTGGTTCCATGATAGTGATGTCCCGGGTTCGATCCTCGACTTTTTATTTTCCGCATGATCACGTAACATTTTATTTTTAATTCTTCATCCGCATTTATAAATCAAGCANATCTAATTTTAAGGTTTTGATCAGTTTTTGTTGATGTTGTTGTTTTTGGATGACAGACATCGGAGGATTCCTTATCCTTATCCCTCAATATCGTTCGTTTGAGTGCACTCGTTTCGGCCTCCATGGCCAGCCAAGGCCGGCTGCCAGTCAGCTGATAATCGAGTTGTCTTAACTCTGGGTTATAAAGGGACTCTAATGTGGAGAGGTGAGGTAAGCCCTTTATTCTACAAAAACTTCTTTGATTTTTCGTCAGTGATGAACGACTGAAGCGTTGGCAGAGAGGCTCTTCTCTTGTCGCGGACTTCAAATTTCCGCGGATTTGGCGGGAGCGGTGTGCACCTCGGCGCGTTCAAACGGCTCGCGTTCGGCCGCACATGGTCCGATTTTGTTGCGGTTTGTTTTGTTGAACTCAGTATATCCTAAGGAAGATTTTGAGCCCAAGTTTCTGAAAATTGGTACATTCTTATTGCTTTCAGAGAGGGGGGATACTTACTTATCGAACGCCCCTCGTAGAATTTCCTCCACCCCGCCAAGATGAGAGACACCGTAACGTGACGGAGATTACACACGCATCATCGCAGATTGACTCTCGTATACTCGTTCAGGTCGACTCTGTTCTAACTTTCAGGGCCCAGCTTATCTTCAATTTTTATATAGTCTTTCAGAATTTTTAATCTCAATGAATATCCACAAAACTGTGAAACTTAAAGCCTGATGCTGTTTAAATTCCCTCGTCGAAACTTGCTCCGCGGAACTCCCCTTAGAGCTCAGTTCCTAGAAAGCCACGGGAAGCTCTTGAACTCTAATTCTTATTCAAAGTTGGGAAATGAAAATCATCTCCGAGCGTGTACTGACAAATCAAATTAATTCTCAGAGGCAAGACTCGCCCGATAAAATTGAAGGGATCGGACCAGGCCGGAAGTGTACTCACCCTCTGGAGTGCATCTTTTGCGCTCATCGCCCGTTCCAGATTCTGGCTAATTTGCTGAAGTTTACGCGCCGCCTCAGCAACCCTCGTTCTCTCCGATTCCAGGAGTTTCTTCAGCACGGCCGAACTCAAGTTAAGCTGCGTAATCTGGTATTTCAGTTATTGAGGAGGAAACAAAATAAATTACAATGCGAACTACAAGAACGGAGACTACAGTTACAGCACTAGGAAGTTAGAAATTCCTTCGTGGAATCGAAAGTCTTTTAGCAGGGTTAATCAATAGGGGAGGGTTCCCGTTAAAAAGGCCCACGGGTACGGGGCCCTTTTCTCCGAAGATTTCGTAAATGGTTGCTCTGCACCCTGAAGTTTGACTCAGCGAGGATGTCTCGTGGTTTATAGAGATTTTATCAGGGGTGTGGCGTGCTTTACAATATATCGCTTGATCCGGCATTTAAATCTATGAAAAAGGATCGATAACCAGGGTGGTCGCTAATAATCGATTCTTTACCATAGCTTCAAATGGGGATTTATCGATAATTGATCATTCACGTCTTGCCACTGGATTTTACGACAGCACTCAACCAAAATGTATTCACCTCTCCTCGCACATTTCGTCGTTTCCTAGACGAAGGAACGTAACTCAATTCCAAGGTTGCAAAATTGACTCGGACAATTCAATTTTTTGTGAGGATATACATGTACCATTTTCCTCCCCAATTTGTCTGATTATCGCACGAGATCAGAGAAAAAACGAGGAAAATCCTCTGTCAGGAACGTGCAACATTCTCTTGGTAAAAATGTAATTTGCGAGAGAGGATTTGGTAACATTGAAATTTAGTTACGTTCTTTCGTGAGGGAATCGACGAATTTAAGCCAAATTGTGTTCTCTTAGCAAGTATGCCCGCCTATTGCTTTCCAGGAAATATAGCTTTTCATAAAATATTTTGGCCTTGAGCAAAATCCAGAATAGCGGAGGTTTGAAATGACGGTACAATTTATAGAGTTGGATGATGTATTCATGAGTACCTTTAATTTCTGTAATGGAGTAAAAGCTGTCATGAATTTTTAATAGCTGTGTCCATCATCCGCGGGCAATATTTCATCGCGGGTTTGATGAGAATACCCTCGAACAGGAACATAACTGCCCACTTTTTTGAATTCCGAGATATAATTGTCAAAGACAAATTAAGTGTTACACATGAAATGAAAACTTTATTGCGACATTATATCGTTCGGGAAGGGAACAGATATTAAAACATTGCGCGTCGTGTGAGAGATACAGTGTGTGCCATTTTCTTTTTAAACATCAACCTTTTGACAAGGCGACTGAGGGGGTGGGTTTCATCGCCACATGTTGTATCATGAGGAAATTTTTGCCTAGTTTGACACTGGAGCCTTTGTGATTGGCCCAAAGGAGAACTACTGATTCATTGGCTCTCATTTCTGTTGAAAGACATCTTTCAAGCTACCAGTCCCTTCCACCTCTGCCACTTCTACCATAAAAGACATTTTAACCCAAAACCAGCTTACGCACCCGCTTGGACTGTGACTGTGAACTATGAAGACCAATCCAATGGATATGTTGCATGTGTGAGGAATTGGCAATTTGACTACTGATTCTTATGTAAAAGTTCGCGAGAAACACGATGGTGCCACTGGTTTTCTCTGACAAGGGGAGCTTCCCAAGTGTAACCGGAATTTCGAGTTGAAATTTCGCATGAAGATACTAGAGATGATATTAGGGATGCCGTATTTTTTCGTTTTTTCGAATGGGGTCGGGAAAGCCCTCAAAAAAAGGGCTAAAGATGCGGAAAAAACGCGCGCGCTAGCGGNTTTTTCCGCATCTTTAGCCCTTTTTTTGAGGGCTTTCCCGACCCCATTCGAAAAAACGAAAAAATACGGCATCCCTAATATCATCTCTAGTATCTTCATGCGAAATTTCAACTCGAAATTCCGGTTACACTTGGGAAGCTCCCCTTGTGAAATCAACTCCCAAGCTGAAAAAAGCTCTCAAAGTTGAGGCTGTAATGGAGTGGATTTCCCTCGCTATCCTGAGAGCCCACTTCTACTTCAAGACGAACTCTCCGTGCGAAGATAGGGAGCAAATACATTGACAGGGCTGCCACTTTACTTGGGGACTCTAAAACTGAAAAAACGGCATCCCTGTTGATGTATTTGCTCCCGATCTTTGCTCATAGAGTTCGTCTTGATGTAGAAGTGGAATCTCAGGATAGCGTGGGAAATCCCCTCCATTACAGCCTCAACTTAGAGAGCTTTTTCTCAGCTTGGGAGTTGATTTCAGAGGAGACCAGTGGGCACCATCGTGTTTCTCGCGAACGTTCACATTTGAATCAACAGTCAAATCGCAAATTCCTCACACATGCAACATCTCCATTGCACGTATTTAAATCAATGACGAGGCGTTAATGATCGTTTATCGATATTTCGCCATTTGAAGCTATGGTAATAAAGCATCGATTATCAACGTGTTCGTTGCAAACGCCCCGCTCATCGATCCTTTTCCATAGGTTCAAATGGCAGATCGATCGATGTATCGCAAAGCACGCCACGACACTGATTTAAATGAGAGGAATTATATCCATTGTGGCATGAACCCTGAGATCCTGCGGGCCGATTATTGAAATTGATAGACAAAGCTATAGACAAAGATGACAAATGGGATATGGAGGAATCCTATTGGTGAAAGCTGGTAGTTTCAATGGACAAAGGCAGTGGGTAATAAACAAACTAACGGCAACCCACGAGAAACCCGACAGTTAGTCCAACATTTTCTCCCTTAGTCTATAAGAACCACGCATTTCAACCAATAGGATCGCTCCATAACCCCTATGTCTTCTTTGTCTATAGCTTTGTCTATCAATTTCAATAATCGGCCCGCAGCAGAGAACATGCATGACAGGGCTCGTGTCGCAATGGCTGTAATGCGTCCAATTTTAGATCAGGCGTGACTGTGCCCGCGCAATTGCCCGGTAAAAACGCTTGAACTTGTCTTTATAAAGTTGTATCATATTGGATTAAATCAGATTCAAGTGAGTCTTTACAAGAGGTTCATTAAATGATAGCTCGCGGACTCCGAACGCCCCGGATATAGAGCAGCGACTTTGTCAACGTGTCGGAAACCTTGTCCTTTGGCGGTGTTAATGAGAATTTAACGAGTTTGCCGATCTTGAGGACCCATTAAAATCACAGTTAAATGCATGCGGCTTCAAGAACTTGCGCTCCAAATTGTCGGGCGGTCGTCAAATGCTTGCACTGAGTCATCAAAAGCCAATAGTCAACTCATAATGAACATGACTCAGGTCGTTTCCGAAAGGAAGGACATTTTTAGCTCAAGGCTTGAAAACGCATACGTTGAGAAATTGAGTTTTCTCGCATTAACTGTGTTTGGAGACTCATTTTTGCGCCCTAATGAGGGATACGTAATATTTCATCGGTTACTCGAATGTGCAACAACTCCTATACGGTTCAAACGTAAATGATTTGTGGATTCTATTCGGACACGAAGGATACAGTACATAATCAGTGATGTTACACTCATCCTAAGTTTTTCAGAGGTTTGTGTGTTCGTGCGGTTGTCCACCTCATTATAAGTTCAGGAAAGATTTATTCGAACATGTATTTATTCTCCCCCTCCCCTCTCCTCTGGTAAATCTATGCAGTCCATCAAACAAATAATTTATTCGTGATTTATTCCAGCGAGAGCCGAGCATTTGAACCGCGTTAAGCAGAGAGGAACCGCGCCACATCAGCTATTGCCAAATTTAATTGGACAGTTTAATTTTTACATGAAAACGGTTGTGCGGATTTTTATGCGAATTCATGTGAATTTTCTGCGTAGTACGAAGCAAATTCCTTAAATGTTTTAAAGAAATCCGCACAAACGTTCTCTTCACTGGAAAAAAAAGTCGCTCGGATCCAGAGTCCAGACTCTTGAAAACAATGACAAGAAAAAATACCCTTGATTTAATCGAATTTTTGCTTGAATCAAAACAAAATCCGCTTAAATTAAGAGGCTCGGTTCTTGATTCAAGCTAGAATCCGATTGAATCAATAGTATTTTCTCTTGTCAATGTTTTTAAGAGTCTGAACTCTAGATCCAAGCGACTTTTTTTTCCAGTGTTGTAACAAATTAAGCTGCCTTATTAAAGGCAGTAACTCACATGGCTCGACTCCTTCCTGCAAAACGCGGCCCATTTGTGATGATAGCGCATCGACACGTAAATCCTCTCAATCATATGCATTGGTTTTCACCCTTGCCCTGTTGAGGTGAATTTTCATTTTATTGATAATTCAGGCTTAAAATTAAATCTCACGTTCCTTATTTCTTACTATTTCTCTAACTTTTATTTTTTACGCTCGCAGCCTGCGTGGAGGATTTGAGAACAAGGAGATGGCGCTCTGGGTCGAAAAGGCCGAGATACGTTACTGTTGGTCGGCTCGGAAACACGCGGCCTCACACGGACCCTGTCACGTCACCCGCTCATGTCAGAGCCCCCTGGCCGTGTCAGAGAAGGGTCAGAACCCTCCTCCGACCCGAAATACGTTTTTTGTATCCTAATACCTCCACATGTGCTACACAATAACGAAGGTCTAAGATTTTGTCGCTGCTCCTCATTTCGGAAACCCGTTCGAACGTCAAGGCTTGTTTTCTTCTTTCTAGTCCTGCATCGTCCTGAAAAGTCTACTTACGAAGCACCCTAGAGTTCGACTTATTTTCAACTCAGATCTTACGCCTGATTACGTTTCTCCTGTTTTGGCTGTGTAAATCACATAACCGATGATGCACCACTACACACAAGACAAACGGAACCAATACAACACGAACACGGTAATAGAGTCTGGGAAAGAACGCGCGTTAGCAACGGCGCAGAGATACAACTATTCGTGCTTGATGGACGTCCGTGTTGCGTCTGCAGAATTGAAGGCGCGATGGTGCGAGGCGTGCATTCGCAATATGCCGCCGCCCAATGCTGTCAACGAGGTACCGCTCGGATTTGGGAGACAAGTCAAATAACGAGGCCCGAAAAAATCTCTCCTATCTTCGGCTGTGTTCACATTCGTTTTTTTTTCTTTTTTCAATTTGATATTTAATTCTCTTTTAAGCGTGTCTTTCTAGACCTGTATCGAAAGCAAGTATGTATCGGCACCTTACGACCCGCAGGCCACGTAAAAAAAAGTCCGTAAAAAAAGCACTTGCGAAAAGTAACAAAAGTTGTGAAATTTTTAAATGTTCTTTTATCAGCTTTTGCGCAATTAGCGAGCGTCTTCACCCGTTAGTTTTGCCTTCCGTTAATCGCAATTTAGATCTATACCTATTTGACGAACAAATTTTTAGCGCTTGCCTGAAATGTTTACTTTGCGAGTAAAATCTCTCATCTTCGGCTTAAGCTCATTTACATTCTCCTGAGTTGGACCAGATTTTGCAAGGAGGACCTACTATTTCTCGCTCATTTTAAAAACATCATACAGGGTTATTCAAAAGTCACGCACCACGGGCCATAAGGGGGGTGGCCATTTAAAATTTTTGAGTTTCCCCCGCCCTCCGCCCCCCGAGGGGATCAAAAACTGGAAAGGACCTCAAAAATATACCCCCTCAATATGAGGAAAAGTGTTTTAAACCGCAAGTCGATATCATAATTGAATCAGTGAGAACGAAAACACACCAACTCGGAAAAATTAAAGTAATCAAGACACAAACAAAACTGCACAGTAGGTGAAGAAATTAGTCCATGAAAAGGATGTTTGGTGCCGAAAGACAGGCACTTATTTTGAAGGTCCAAGTTTGAACAGATGCGCTAACTTCAATGACCTTTATAAAAATTGACCGTCTTTAATGAAAGTTGCGCATTTTCGAGTTATCGAGTAAGTGTGTTTTCGAACTCATTGATTAAAATAGAAGTTAAAGTTATGGCCAGTGGTGCGTGACTTTTGAATAACCCTGTATGAGCCTTTGCAGATAGGTGCGCCTTTATGAGTGAGCCAGAAAATGCAGTCTCTCACGGGGAAATGTGGTCCAATTAATATCAGAAAGTTTTTATGACGGTTTGTTTAACCTCATCTCCCATATGATGATTTCAAATGTGATGTCTAAAACGTAATAAGCACGTGAGAGAAAATTTCGCACCTGAGCAAATCGTTCTTCACTCAGTTTGTTAACTTTCTGAGAGCGCACTCGGTCACTTCGCCATGCGTTCAGGATGAATGCTAGGAAGCTGTGATGAACTACCGCTTCAGGTGTACCCAAATTTCTTCGCAAATTTGCGATGACCTCAGATGGTGTGACGGCGTCAAGTCTGAAAAAAAAGGTACATGCGAGTGGTTTCAGAGGCAGTTCTAAATGTTGTCTAGTGCTCACTGGAAAAAAAAAAAAACACTTTGGATCTTGAGTCCAGACTCTTGAAAACATTGACAAGAAAAAGGACTCTTGATTAAATCAGATTTTAGCTTGAATCAAAAGGAAATCCGCTCAAATTAAGAGGCTTGGTTCTTGATTTAAGCTTAAATCTGATTGAATCAAGAGTATTTTTTCTTGTCGATGTTTTTGAGAGTCTGGACTCTAGATTCAATGTTTTTTTTTTTTTTTTCCAGTGCTCCTTCTAGGTTAAGACTTCACATTCTTTTTTGAGACGCCATGGATACCGATTTTACTTATATTTTGTAGTCTTCGGGGTCCCCTCCATCACTTTGGAGGCTCAAGGATCCCTGCCTATTCTAAATTTGAGGCTTTAGAGGCTCTTCTGGGTCTATTAGATACACTTGATAATAATTTTGAGGCACTAAAGGAACTACGGAAGATTCAAAACCACAAAAATTAAGGGGATAATATGCATTAATCTGGGGGAAAAATCGCCATGGAGGATCCTCTGGGACCCCGCAGCAGACACTGTGGAGGCGATCGCCCTTTAGCCACCCTAGCCTGTCCGCCCCTGATATTGAGGCCGATCGAAATCCGAAATATTCATCCTTAAAAAAACCTCTTGTTAGCTCTCAAAACTTTATTACGTGAAACGTCCCCGAGAGTCAAATTAAAACTTAAAAAGAAAGAGTAAATATTCAATTGGGTTCCATCCTGCTCCCGGCGAGATGAGTAAGGAAAACAAGGGGATATTCGGACGTATTCGTGCTAAAAGGAACTATGCTGTACGTTGAGCCTATGCACATAGGCCCTTTTAGCATAAGTACATCCATTTTTTAGTCTTTCCTCGTCCTTGAAAGTTCTCTTCTCAAACTCTCAAGAATAATCGGCCGTCTGTTAATTGCGCTATTGCCATACGTTGATACGCCAAACCACAATACTTATCATTTCTATGTTTACTTTCTGTTTCATCAACATGGCCATTACCGAAAATTGTCTCTTGGGGGCGGGAAACTGCAATTCATTGCATTAAGCCAAGTAATCGAAATAATTCTAATTAGCAGCGCTAAGACAGGTTTCCTCTACTCATATTTACGCACGTATCATGGGACGGGAGACCCAAGAAATCTTCCAATTATAGACAAGAACAGCAACAGAGTTTGAAAGGAAACTTTACGTAATTTTTAGGGCATATTCCAAGCGCGCTCATAAATTGTGATATGCGTTTTGTAATAGACGGGCATCGAGTTTCCGATTTACCAGAATTGTAATATGGTTGAAAGATCCAAATTATCAGACCCTAAAACTGCTCATTCAAATGATGACGTACTCGATGACAAACTATCCGTCCCTAACTCGAGAGACTAAAAAAGCATCGATTTGACAAATTAGAAAACATTGCATCATGTTATGTAGATTTACGAGTCTCGGTTTCGCAATAACAGCGTAGCGACGGCTCGTTTTTGTTTTTAATTTATTTTCCGGTTGAAAATGAAATTGTAATTATTTTGAAACGTTCCGGGTTTTGTTTATTCCTTTTTCTTTATTTGCAGCCTTTTCCCCAAATTAAGTTGTTCTTTTATTATGTAGATTACCCATGCTATTGCACTCAAAAATTGTAAATATTCCGATCAACAAGGATATTCAACTTTAAAGAAAGCTCTTAAAATGAGCTGAACAAGATGATGATCGTGAATGAGAAAGCCCATGAAGCGTAAAACGATGCAGCATGCTGTCCCTTTCCAAGAAATGTATTATATTTGAAACCTTTTTATACCGTTAACAGTCGCATGAAGTCTTGTAACAATTTACTGGTGGTAAAATTCTGCCCTCTCGCTTTAAGTACGAAGAGGATCCTGCAAAACCTAGACCTCGTGTTTCAACACAGCAGCGTTCTACCAGTTTAAAACGCCTTCAATTGATGAAGATGCTACCATCTCATCTTGTTATTTCCCTCTTGAAAGTTTTTCCATCCGGTCGTCCGGAAATTGGATTTTGCCTCCCTAAAAAGATGTAATTTAATCCGCTGGTGTATACGACAGTTTATTCTCCAGCGTTTGTCATTTTACTTTACAAAGATTATTAATTTACCTAACTTTTCAAGAATTCAAAGCGTGTCGTCCTAAAAACGCGTATCTTTCGACGAGGTGGAAAAATTTTGCAAGCAGTTGCGTCGTAGCTGCATGCATCCAATACACCAGTCTTTTCTTTTATTTATTGAACCTTTCTGATATATTACAGATCCTCCCCTGCCCCTCTTGATTTCTGCATCTTAAAAGCGCCAAAAGAATGGCATGGTATACCGTGATGCTGTTGGGTGCAAGTATTCAGATCCTTGCCAGGATTTACCCTACGTACGTTGAATATCACCTACTATAACAAGTACTACAACTAATTCTACCACAGAATCTGATGTCACCATACTGTAATACCGAGTCAAGAATGTGATCAAACTCAGCAAATATTCAGTTGTGTGCTTCATTCATTCATTCTTTCGATGACATTTCCGAACACCTGATGGACCTTTTAATTAACGCATATAAAAGGTATAAATGAGCGGTGTCTACATCAAAGTAAGGAGCGTATTAAGGAGGGTGAACTAAAATGAAAAAATATGGCTTGCATTTGATTAATTCATTGTAGCCAATATCTCATACATGGATAAAATTATCATTATTTTTCAAACTAACAAAAATTACTGATATTCATTCCATGATATCAGAACCCCATAGCCCAAAGGTACTTAACTCCATTTTAGTATTCTCGAGATGTCAAGGGAAACACTGCGCGTCGGCTCAATTGACTCCAATGCAAATCGTAATATTTGATACCTAATCCGTATCTTAAAACCGGCGTGAGATAGAAGATACGGCTACCTTTTCCACACGCACGGAACAGATTTTCAAAACGCCACTAACTCGATTTTTTCAAAAATGTGAGTCTGGTACTTTTTGGCTCCAGGGCATACTGATATGAATCACCCAGGTAAAAAGATAGTAATTTATTAAAAAATCGAGCTATAAGGCAAAATAAACAAGTAATATTTTATTTCAAACTACATGCAGATGAGAAAAAATGTATCATAGCTCGATAAGAATGTATTGCAGCTCGATTTTTTAATCAATAACTAAATTCTGTACAGCTTAGCCAGCCAAATTCGGCAATAAAATGTAGTTACTCAGGTAATAATACCACGATCATCTTTTAGTCCACCATGAATGAAGAAAATTTAATTGGAAGGATTTTTACCTGCGACGTTTGTTAGCGGCATCCCAGTGGTTTGACATGGTTGGAATATCGGCCAGGGAGACCGTCCTTCTGACCCGTAAAAGTTTTTCGCAGGCGTAGGAGCAAGGCTGAAAATCTGATGGTGGATAGCTCATATCATCCTCGGTCTCTGCCGGCGGATGGGGTTCTTCATTCTTCTTATCAGTCTCGCGCTCCAAGATGTCGCAGTCTGAAATTGGCATCGATGTCGTAGTACCCTGACAATCGCCACCACCGATTTCGCGCATGAGCTTTTTGACAACTTTGTTCGACATTGCTGCGGTTTTAATCCGATGCTAACACTAAAAGCTTCTCGGGAAATGGCGTCCGCGAACAACGAGTATAGAAATACGCAGAGGTCCTTTTCAGCTTCACGAATTGTGGTCATGCATCCTAACAGTAAGAAAGTAAAATTATTGAAGTTGCGCACGTGGCACTCGCGGTAGAAATTTTTTGCCGAGAAAAGTGAAAACTGTTTGGTCAGTAATGTTCTGATGCAAAGGTTTTGATTAAATCTTTTCAAATTGGTTCAGCACATAACTCTTCGATATTTAGGTGTGATGCAAAAATGATCTCGTTCGAAAATATTTGCAAAAATTGAGCAATCTAAGGCGTTTAGCAGCCACTTTAGAAAGTGAATTTTCTGCAGATTATTGTTGACTCTATTTCACTGTTTTTCCAGGATTTTTTAATCGTAAATTGAATCATGAATTTTTTTTTTTACAAAACTCATTTTTTAATACTTACGGTGACTTTTTTCTGATGAATGGTATAATTCTGCATGGACATGATACTTGCTTGCAGGAATGACCTCTCTATTTATACTCTGTGTCGCGCTTGAAAAGTATCTTATCCAAAGTTGCCAAAAGTAGCGACTAATTTTATCAGCTGATAATTTTTTCAGTCGAGTAACCATCTGAGCACTGCAACGTACTTAAATATTCGTGACAGTCGTGCAATATCTGTTGCCCTAGCATTCTCAGTCTTCGGCTACCTGTAGGTGTGCTGAAAAAAAATACATTATATGTATGGTGTGTATTGCGGGGTGTGAGTGTGTGCGTGCGTGCGATACCAATGATAGGTAAGTCAGCCAAAAAATAAGTTTTAATATCAGCTGACGGGAAAACGCATAACCTCATGCGGCGTTCTTCCTTCACACGGCAGTACCGTGCAGTATTTCCTAAAATCGAACTTGAAGTAAGTTGCTTGCCTCGCCGCGCCGCCGCGCCGCAGCGCAGTTGGGAGATTTTTTAAATTTCAAATTCAGGGAGCGTTTCCGCACAGCTACAGGTCAAGTGACAAGATTTTTTTAGACAGTTTGTGATGAAATTCTCTCATTTGTATTAGGGCCGGATTTGCCAACTTGCCGCCCGTGGGCCGCCTGTATTTTGCCGCCCCCTTCTCATTCGTTTTGAAACATCAATGAAAACCATCAAATGAACGTGCCAGCGGGGGAGGGGTCGATAAGACGCGTTTACTTGTGTTGAACACATTTTTTGGGAAAGCCCTGTCAACACTACTAGCAAAAGTTCAAGGAACTTTGCGCGAAAGTTAAGTCTCGTAAACCTATCTCTGTGTGGACAAGGCCTTCCATTCATAAGAAATGAACGAAAATATTAGGAAAGAACAAACATAAATGTGTATTAATGATTTTAACTTCCGCCGCCGCGCCGCGCAGACCGCACCGTGTTTGGCGCAATGCGTGAAGTATTCCGACAGTCTTGTAGGCGCGGAGTTTCACGCCGGCCGTTACTGAACGCACTGTGATTGACGCAATGCGTGAAGTAGGTATTTGTGCAGTCATGTAGGGGCTACTATGTTTTACACGCCGATCGCCGCGCCGAGGGCTTCTCCTTTTCATCTCAAGTCCTCGTTATGGTTTCTCTCTAAGTCGCGCCGTTCCAGGCCAAATTGCGTGTCCAGTTCCTCTCTTACCTCTACTAATTGAAGATGCTGTCTCTTGTATCACTGAAAGACGACGAAAGTAGAAATTACTATACTCTCAGAAAATTAGAGATTTTGTTTGTCGCCTTTTCTCGTTTGTGATTGTTTTTTTCTAAATTGGAATTTTCTATACCTACATTTGTAAAAAATTCAAAATTTGCCGCCCCCTATAGATATGCCGCCATGGGCCGCGGCCCATGTGGCCACCCCCTTCATCCGGCCCTGATTTGTATCGTGCAAGCACGCAAGCGGCTCATCATCGGTGCGACTTAAAAACTTAGGTCGCCTGGCTTGACTTGGCGAGTTTTTCATATTACGCGGGCAACTGGGACACCGCCGACAGGAGCCAATCAAATTCAATATCAACAACAACAAACATTGATAGTTAGTTTGTAAGGTTAGGAAATCGATTCCAGCAATTTTTAAATGATCTAGCTGAGTCCATCTAAGTCTTTAACAAATAGTCTGAATCTAAATCTGTGTCGTTGTTTCAGGTGAATTTTTCATGACTTAGTGCTGGCGAATCTATTCCTCGGAAAAGGTCTCTGTACGTATGAAGTCGCCTGTCGATCGAATCTCCTGTGTCATCGTCCAGCCACTAAGTTATTCCTCTGTCCTCTTATGATCCAGCTTTGATTTAAAAATGAAGTTCACCGAGCATTTAGCAGCTCACATCACCCCAGAATGGAGAAAACAATATATTCAATATGAGGTAGGCCAGCATCAGCTTTCCAACAGAAATAATTCATCCACCGTTCATTTTCTTTCAATGAAAAGAGCTTGTCAGTGACATTTTAGTGGCTTTAAATTATAACATGAATCATGCGTTTAAACACTACGCTCTCAGGCGCCCCAGATCTCAAGGAGCTGTGAGGATTGGATGAGAGACGAAGAAAGCTCCAAAACCATTTCTTGTGTAATTTCTGTCTCAACTGCTGAGGGGAACTCCTAAATTTGGAATTGAGTTGGTCAACCGTCAGTTTAATCCTCCTGCAGATAAGCTGGTAGGTCTGTGCCAGTTGATTGAACTCTTTATTTGTGCTTGATGGCGCTGTCGTTGGATGGAACCAACGGAGAGTTTTGCATAGGAGAAGCAGCCACTGCCAATTTGACAGACATAAGCCTCCGGAATTTTTCTTTTAATTTCAATTTTGAATTTATTTGACTAATAACATCACATACCAAAATATTAACAAAGTACCTGGTGGAAGCCACTTAAAGCAAGCCTTGTGCAGATACTTGGAGCACAAATTGAGCACGAACAAGACCAACCTACACAGGCCTGTCATCCCTGTGGACGAGTTTTGAGACCCTGCTGTGTGGTGTGGTGGGAGATTTAATTGCGATGCATTTCTTACTGGAGCAGCCAATTCTACATCACTCTGGCTGTGGTGAAGGAAGGGTTTGGCTGGGGAATGGATTCCCTCTTAGGGTGCAATGACTGACCTGCTCGGATTGGTCTTTGGTATGATGTTTAATTGTTCGTTCTCATCAGATATTTCACTTAGTGAAATGGTTGCCAATTGTTCAGTCCTCTCAACCTTATATGAATGTAGTTTAAAGCTGATCGTACTCTCAATTAAAGCACAGCATTCTACTTCGAAGGGAAAATCTAATCCCATTTTTCAAGAAGCTTTTTGTACGAATTTTGTTAGTATCTTCAACAATTTGTGTATTTTCAGGAACTCAAAGCCATGCTGTACAAAGCTGTGGAACAAGCTCCATCTGCAGAACAAGTTGAAGAAACTGTGATAACGAGACACTTTGCTAAGTTTGATGAGCAGTTTTTTACCTTTTGTGATCAAGAATTGGCAAAAATCAACACTTTTTATTCAGGTTTGCTATCTGCCCCAATATTTCCAGAAACTGTAGCAAAGTCCTGTGGTGCTATCACTGATAAGAAAAGAAAGAAAGAAAGAAAAATTATTTTACATCATTTGAGTTTGAGTCCAGGGGCAAACTAGGACTATCAACCCACCAATCCCTAGGTCAATTCAAGTGGTTTATATGCCTTGTGAAGAAGGCAAATCAGTCCAAAATCTGGTTCTAAGTCATAGAGTACATAGAGTATGTAAACATTATCAAGTGGTAATGTAAATGGGAGAGCTGGCGCCATGTTCTGCTCGACGAATTCCGAGCCTGGTGTGCGCCGAGTTCGGGTCGCTTTTCTGATACATTTTCGATCCAAAATGGCGGTGTGGAATACGTGGTAATTCCTAACTCCTTTGTTGTTGTTGTTGTCATCGGATGGCCGGGTACCCGTGTATCGCAAACAATCGATTATGTATCGAAAAAGTGATCCGGCGTCACACTGGAGTCTTGGAATTCGGGACATGGAAAATGGTTAAAAGTGGCGCCAGCTCTAACACTTACATTGCGACTCTATGTACTCTATGTTCTAAGTATAAACCTTATTTTTCCTATTGTTCTTGCCTGTTTGTCTATCTTTGCTGAGATCAACTGCTAACTCACACTGAAACAAACTTAGGTTTTTTAAGTTCTGTGCAATATCTCAAAAATACTTGACATGCATGGAATACAAGTTTAGGAAATGGTAAAAGTGCATTTGAATTCCGTTATCATGAGAAAGCACTGTGCATACCATCAGAAAAATGTAGATGTCAAATCTTAGCTAATCTCAACCTTTCTTTATGTCCTGCAGAAAAATTAGCTGAAGCGACTCGAAAGTATGCTACCTTAAAAAGTGAACTCAGTGAAGCTCAAGAAGAAGAATTTAACTTCAATGATGACAAACGCTCACGGCTCAAATCAAAACTTTTGCAAAAGAAAGATTCTCCAGCTCGCAAAATACAAGAGTTGAAACTTGCATTCAGTGAATTCTACCTAAGTCTTATTCTACTGCAGAATTATCAAAATTTGAATTTCACTGGTTTCAGAAAAATACTGAAGAAACATGATAAGGTAATCTTCAATACAAGTTATGTGTTTCGGATGATTTAAATTAAAATTGTTCTTTGTCCTTCGAGAGCTTTAACCCTGTGCACCCAAAGTTGCAAGAAATGTTTAAAGTGAGGCGAGGGTGTTTTTTTTCTTTGTTTCCTTCCTAATTTTTTTTAACGTAATATTTTTAGCTCTGGTGATCAGGCAGGAAAGCTCTCTCACTTTTGCATATAGAAAAAAATGAAAAATGAAAATCTGAAATTGCTGCAAGATTGAAAGGCTTTTAATGCTGATTTACAATGAACGTTGGCTGAAAAATTCAAACTTTGTCTTACGACCAGTCCGTCCACCACAATCAGTTTGTGTAAGATTGAAAGGTACCCTTTTGTAATTTTTTGGGTGCTTTTGACTTCGAAGAGTGGGAATTGTCAAAAATACTTTGAAATTGATCATTCTTGTCTTTTTTCATGATTTTTGGGTCTCTTCTCTACAAAAATTTGCAACACCTCTTGCTGATGTCTCCAAGAAGGTTGGTGGTACAACAAAAACAATTGCAGATTTAGAAAGAACGCAAAAATTTCATCAGGCCTGAACAGTTAAACTCTCTCGGAACTTTGACTGTCAGTTGAAGTGTGTAGCCTTGCAATCCACAGCACTCAGTGCTTTAGTGCTCAGTGCTACTCAGTACTTTAGTGTTACTCAACCATTTGCTCCCTTAAAATTCACAGTTTTCTAATATTTGTTGTGCTTCTGCGGAGGCCCAGCAGTGGAAAGTTGTTCCTTGAACTCCAGCCTCCCAAAGACTGAATATTTCCCCAAAATTTTATCAAAATCAAAGGGGGGCACAAGTGGTTTTTGTTAGTGAGTTGTGATTACTGAAAACGGCTCTTTGACTGTAAGTGAAATATTGCAACAATAGCGAATGCAAATGATCTTCTATGATTTTCATTTTTGTTTTTGCTGTTTGTGAATCTTACCAACATTTCTGGTTTTGCTGTCAATCGCTTGATTTCATTATACGAAATATAAGGTAAATTTGTTTCATTTTTACAGCTTTTAAACACAGACTATGGAGCTCATTGGAGGTGTGAAAATGTAGAAACTGCACATTTCTATGTGAACAAAGACATTGATAGACTGATAGCAGAAACAGAAGGAGCTGTGACGCAAGGACTCGAAGGTGGTGACCGACAGAGGGCAATGAAAAGACTCCGAGTACCTCCACTGGGTGAACAACAAAGTCCATGGACATCATTTAAAGTGGGGCTCTTCTCTGGTTCCTTCATAGTTTTGATTGTCGCTGTCATTCTCTCTGGTAAGACATCTTCTCGAAGTATGTCTGGTAATTCTAAGTTTCTTCAGGTTCAATTGTATGGACAGAAAATTTTCTCAAATAGATCCAAGTGTCTTCACAGCTGTATAGTATCTCATTTGTTCTACAATTAACAGACGAAATTGTACCTAAGAAATAAACTCCGTTTTGCCGTAGGTTAAGCCTTTCGCCAATCGACATAACATCTCGACGGTGAAAGTCTGCAATCACATAACTCGTTTGCGGTGTCTGAAAATCTCCGCCTCTATGTTATTTTTTTAAAGGAGAACAAAGTGACATCATCCCTTGAAGTTTTTGCAGAATTTTCTTCACACAGAGAAGAAAAATTATGGCAGTTTTAAAGAATTGCCGCTGAGCAGTTTTCCGTTTAAAAAATAAAGTATGACAGGAAGTCTGCGACGTTGCAAACCGAGTTACGTGATTGCCGACTTACACTGTCGATCTATCATTCTAATGTTGGATTATACTTACATGCTGATGGAAATTGTTTCTGTGGAAAATGCAATTAAAGAAATAAGATTGAAAGAAGACTTTTACAGACGAGCAAGGTTATGGCTCTGGGCTCTGATTTCAAAGAGCCCCCATACCTCTTGTTCCATTGAAGAGGGAACTAGAGCCTTATCTATAGTCCCATTTGAAAATTCCTTACAAAGACACTCAGCTGCAGAGCTATAAGCACTGATACCAATTAGTTGGTCATCATCACGCCTCTTTCTTCAGAATCATTTCTAAGTCCTGCGAGTTGATGAAAAATTGTTTGCTTATCATATTAAAACTAATCTAATATCCCAGTTAGAGACTGTCTCGGATAAATTTAGGGCCTCTAGTGATTGAAAAATCTCAGAAATATTTTTCTTCTTTGAAAATTCTTGATCTCTGAGATACGGGAACAAAAAAAAACTGGACTTTTTGCACTGTCTGTCATTTTTCTGATTTTCACTTTATTTTCATGCTTTGCAGGTATTTTTCATCAAAGCAAAGATGATTGGAGAGTTGTTGGCCGTCTGTACAGAGGACCGTTTTTAATAGTAGAGTTCATTTTCTTGATGGGTGTCAACGTTTATGGATGGAGGTCCTCAGGTGTAAACCATGTTCTAATTTTTGAACTCGATCCACGAAATCACCTCTCTGAGCAACACATCATGGAAATGGCAGCCATTTTTGGTGTTGTTTGGACCTTGAGTGTTCTTGGATTCCTGTACAGTGAGGCTCTTAGTATTCCGCCTTACATTAATCCTTTAGTGCTTATGACTATTATGGCCGTCTTCCTTTTCAATCCAACAAAGACATTTCGACATGAAGCTCGATTTTGGGTCCTTCGAGTGATGGTAATTACTCCGCCACTATTTCTTTCTACTACCAGCTACCGCACATTTGACCATTTGACTTATCACTGAAGAAATATTTGTTGGTAAATTTTTGGGAATTGTTTGGGTCAGTTGCTTTCTGTGGTTAAATTGTAAGCAAAATTCTTCAGCTCCTCAAAATTTTCAAATCCTAGTCTCAAGACTTTTAAATTTTGTCAATGATGCCTATAATCTTTAGCACTGACTACTAATCTTGGTACCGGTCTATTACTTAGCAACTCAATCTACCTTCAAAATTGAATTATACAGAATTTAGTCCAATGGATATTAGGCCTCGTCTCCACTGGACGTTTACCTGAGTCTTGTCACTGTGAAATGTTGCACCAATGAAGTGACGACAAATATTGACAATTACTTTCCAACAGCAACTAAGAAAGGAAGAAAGAGGGAGATTTGATTTTTTGTTCATAGTTTGTTTTTGTTTGCACTCTTAAATAACATTAGAAGAAGAAAATTCATTTACAACTTCATTGTTCATGGTGTTCAGCACACAGTAGGAAATACAATCAATTTTAATGTCCGTGGTAACATTGTTGCAAGAATGTGAAAATCCTGTCTTGTGGAAGCGGGGACAAAGAAAGATTGCCAAAGTTTCTCTCACATGATTTGATTTTGCGACAAATCTCTTGAAGACTGCCTGTGGAGACAAGACCTTAGTTTCTATGAGTGCATCCTCATGATGTTACGAAACATCAACGTACTGTTGTTATTGTTTCAGGGACGGATCATTTTTGCTCCATTCTTCTACGTTGGCTTTGCTGACTTTTGGTTAGCCGATCAGCTGACAAGTTTAGTTCCTGCTTTATTAGATTTTCAGTATTTTATTTGTTTTTATCTTACTAATGACAACTGGCTTGTTCCTAATCGTAAGTCTCACCTTTATACTCTCCCTATTTTCATAGTTGTACCGGTACTTAAAATCAAAATTTTTTGAAGTTCCTTCAATGCAACTAAAACTTGACCAAGTCATATACTTGATGCGTTAAGAAATAATTAATACTTTAAAGAATGATTAGTCTCTGGTTTGGTTTCAATTCTTTTTACGTATATATTTATTGAAATTGTTTGCGTATGTACATCCTTCCAATGCATCATAAACATCGTAAATATGAAAGACAAACAGATTCGTCTCATATTTAAAGATCTATATGGACTTTAAATTTGTATTGGGACTCATTCAGTAACGTTGCCCTGTATGCTATGAATCCTGCAAAGAGCTTACTAAGATTTCAAGAAAAAGCAACAATGTTTAGGAGAGACTAATATTTCGTGAAGATTTCTCTCAGTTCATCAATATTCACAGTGTAAAAAGCCACCAGCAACTTACTTATTCATGTCCTACTATCTCCATATAAGGAACAAAGAAACAACTTAAAATGGAACTAAGGCCTCAAATAATAAAAAGAAACACATAAAATAAACTAAGAAACCCGGGACGTTTCGCAGGGATCACACCCGCATTTTCAACCGGTAAAACAAGAAAAATTAAAAGAAAGGACACTATGAGCCTCACTGTTGTTATTGTGAGGATCCCTGCGAAACGTCCCGGGTTTCTTAGTTTATTTTATGTGTTTCTTATTATTATTTGCGGCCTTAGTCCCGTTTTAAGTTGTTTCTCTGTGAATGTCTTGGGCCGATTAAGTTGTTTTTATAAGGAACAAATTATGTCACAGTATTACATGTATTTGCTTAATCAAAATTTTTTTCCATGATGCGTTTTTTTAAAATGTTATTGTAAATTTTCCAGACTCACCAGTTGACCCAGAAAAATGTGTCAACAGTGTTTGGCTACTCCGCCCAATTGTGGCCTGTTTACCTGCCTGGTTTAGATTTGCCCAGTGTTTAAGACGTTACCGTGACACCAAGGAAAAATTTCCTCACCTTGCAAATGCTGCGAAATATGCCACAACTTTTGGAGTTGTCATTTTTTCTTTTATGAACATCAATTATGCCAGTAAGTGGATTTCTTGGTCATTCGTAAAATTTTGATGGAATTTACAGAATTCAATTCTTGTGGTCTCACAAGCCAGCCATCTAGTGTTGCTGTATTTGCTCTCATGTCATGGCAACTCCTCCCCCTCCCTCCTCCGAAAAAAAAGAGAAGTCAAAGAATAGATGATCAGGAGTGCAAAACATACATGGCCAACAGGGGTAAGAGAGGGTAGGCAACTTTCAAGTTCTTAGCAGCACAGAATTTTTACACACTGCAGTATTGCTGGTGTGAATCAACCCAACGGAGAACTACCTCTGCTTTGACCAATTGACCTTGATAACTTTTTCTCTTCCCCTCGGGTCCTTAATCTTAGTTACAAGTTCATTCCTCTCCTACTAATCAAAATATCAGAGAGTCTTCCATGTAATGTTTACTGTTAATTCATCTATATAATTATGCTATGAACAGTGAGCAACCGGATAAAACATGCCATAAACTGTTAGAACTGTGCAGTGTAACAGTACATAACCCAAAATTGCTGAATTTTCTAAAACGCTAAGAACCATGGTTCAGGTAAACTTATCAGTCAATGTATCGTGTGACGTCCTGAAATCTATCGGCTGGATATTTTTCAGTTTGAAATTGTGTCGGATGTTCCGCAAGTTTGATAGTCCTTATTTATACCAGCCAGAATTTGATAAAACGAAAGAACAAATGATATGTTTGCCCAAATTTTTGCACTAGCATCGTATCAAAACCAAAAATCGAGATTTTTCGATACTACTCTGAGATTGGTTTTTATTAACAACTTGTGTCAGTGATAAAATATAAAAAAACTTGCTTCATTTTCTCAAAGTTTTTCCTTTGTCATTTACTTAAATCTGCCAACCTTTAATACTAATTTTCAATTATTTTCAGGTACCCATGGCACTTCACTCACTGATAGTCCATACTTTTATCTATGGATACTGTCCTCTGTCATCAGTTCTCTTTACTGTTACTTATGGGATATAAAAATGGATTGGGGCTTGTTCGATTCAAAGGCTGGTGAAAATAAATTCTTAAGAGAGGAAATAGTCTACTCAACTCCGGTGCGTTTTTGTCCTTTTTTCTCTTGTATCTTCTGTAATGTATTTTCAAAATATTTTTACCACTATAATCTTGTTGAAGCTTTTGAAACTATGAACAAAGAAGGCTCAAGATATAGGTCCAGTGAAGCTACTGTTTGACCTGTTTGTACAACAGAATATAAGTAGGGCTGTGCGAATATTCGAAAAACTCGAATATTTGAGTTCGAATACTTTTTCTGATATTCAATTCGAACTCAAACCTAGAAACCCCGAATAAGTGAATTATTCGACAATATTGACTAAACTTCGAATACCCAACAAAAAAGACCGAATATTCGTTCATCCGGCCATATTGATGACGTACTAGTAAGAACTTGACACGGCGTGCAGTTCAAACTACTTGTTTTGAGGTTAGGTAAACAAAGGCCAACGTTTCATTGGTTCATGCAGCGCACGGCACTCGCTTAAGACGGATCAATTCAAAATTCGCGCCACTTGAGTTTCACCTAATACGTCATCAACATGGCGTACAAATGGGCCAATGTACTAACCTCCATAACCTAACCTTCTCTGCCCCGCGTGGCACCCCGGTCTTTACAATGTTGCTAGACTGTCTTTACGAGATCAGCATTGATGTGGAGTAAAACAGAATAAAACGAATTTTCGGACAGCAAGAAGCAGTTTTACAGTTCCACGACAGTTCAATCAATTGGTCGTCGTGCAAGGAAACAATTTTCTCTCCCTTGTTTTCTTTCCCCAGCAAATCAAAATGTTCGCAAAACCATTTGATAATTAAATGAATTGATTAATTCTTATCTTTTTATCCATATTATTAATTTCTTTAATCAAAATTTGAAAGTTAGAAAGAAAAAAATTATTTATTCAATTTTTACTTCGACCAACACAGAGGTTGGTTTTGGTCAAAAATAGGTAAAAACTAAAAATATTCGATTCAGTTCGATTCGATTCGAATTTGAAACTTTTTCAAAATATTCGAATCGATTCAATTCGATTCGACATAAAAAAAACCACATTCGCTCAGCCCTGATAAGTCAGGGTTATTATATTTTCTTCGGAAAGGAAAAATTAAATTTATTTGAATCGGACTTCCTCTGTCAGCTGAGGATTCTTGTATCCTAACACCTTTCCTGATTGTTGAAATTTTTCTCTGAGATAGGCAAAGGATCGAGCGAAATAGATACTATTAATATTTGCAACACTCAGCAGTTCGATTTTGAACTCTAAAATAATAATCTTAAATGTGATAAAGGCTGCAAAGTGTAAAAAAAAAAAAATACCAATCTCTTTTTTGGTATGGAGAAAATTATGCCACTTTTCTTAACTGATATTAATAAAGATAGAAGCGGGAATAAAAATGAGACGCTACTGTTATCAACTGTGAAATGAGTGTGCTCTTACTCTGAACATTCTAGGTATTGTATTTCATTGTACAGCCTCTACCCCATTTTATGTCATTTATTTTGTTGTGGATTTAAACTAATTAGGTCTTTTTGTATTCTGTAACTTCTGCGCTTGATTTGATGGATCGGTCTCTATTATATTATAATGAATTTTGATAAAAGAACACTAGTCAATAATGAAAAGTTCGAAGTATTAACTCACTCTCTCTAATTTACTCTTGTCCATTGCAGAACTATTATTATTTTGCGATCATTGAGGATTTGATTCTGAGATTCGGTTGGGCCATGTCGTTTTCTCTCACAGAGATGGGTTACATTCATGGTGATCTCATGGTAGCGATTCTGGCACCTTTCGAAGTCTTCAGGTAAGTGCTTAATCACAGACCGTGAATTATGTCGCAGGTTTTGAACGAGCTGCTGCACTTATAACACTGGTATTCTGAGAAATGGGTCAACTTTTATCAATTTTTTTTTTTCTGTGGGTCTTTTTTTATCATGTTATCTGAAAGCACTAGGTGAACTAAGCAGATTTTCCCCAAATTTTTATAATAGCAACAGGGAAAAAAGTGTAAAAAATTAGGGTGGTCGAAAATGGCGTTTGGACTGCGGGCTCTTTGATCAGCACGAGTTCATAAACTGAGCTGCTCAATTTCTGTAAGTTCAGCTGTTAGGTAATGTACAACACGTGTGTGTGCGATTTGAGAATTTTCATTCAAGTTTTGATAGTAAGAAATATCTTTATTGCCCAGATCTAAGTCAAGTTTTTAAAAAGGAAATTTGAATCAAGCCTCTGCCCACTTTGGAAAGGTTTCATCAAAATGTCCGAGCCTCAGAAATGTGCCGAAGTTGAGTTTATTTTTTGTGACGTGTAGGACGGAAAAAAAATTGAAGTTTCAATTTAATTTAGAATATCCCTTTGATATATGACTGTATTTGCTTGACAAATTTTGCATTGATTATTCCCAAGACGGTGCAATGTTGCGTAAAGTTCCTAAACTTTTATCAGTATTTGTGCCAGAGAAAATAAAAAATAAAAACTTTTTACAGGGGCCACGATAAACACAAATCATTGACAGGGTGAAACGATTTTGTAATGCTTCCAACAGTAGCTTTATGAATTACTGGCAGGGAAAGTTGTGGAGACCAAGTACCTCCCAATGCTCTTCAATAACCTCTATGAAGGTTTCAGTATGATACATTCTGAGCGTAGAAAGATATGTACAAACCCTCTTGCATTGGTGTTCAACGTTCTTTGCAAATTTTTGTAACCTCCTTTGTAGGATTTTTTTTCCTCAAAACTATTTATATAGACCCCTGGGTTGATAGACAAGGAAAGTGATGAGGTGTCGCGTAGCCTTCGGGCGCTGTAAAAGTGACTTGTGTAAATATATGTAACTATTAATATTAACAGATCAGTTATTTCTCATACTCAGTAACCTGCAATAGATATCCACTTGATCTCAGGAAGAATATCATTCAATTTTGTAATCTGAAGACTGTATGACTTGACTGTAATATATATTCTCTATTCAGAGTTTCCAATTGTGTTTTCAGGAGGTTTGTATGGAACTTTTTCCGTCTAGAAAACGAGCATCTCAATAACTGTGGTAAATTCAGAGCAGTGAGGGATATCTCTGTAGCACCTATGGATTCCTCGGATCAGTCTCAAATAATCCGAATGATGGACGATGTAGATGGTGTCTACAATCGTCACCAAAATAATAAAAGATCTCTCTTGAAACAACTGCCTGGTTCGGACGATACCTTAAGCCGTCAGTCGTAGTATTTAATTCAAGTAAGGAAGAATATATTTTTATATTATTTTACATGGTGCTATGTCAACACTACATAGTTGTTTATGCAGAGAAAAGTCATTTGTCTTAAAATCATGTTCCAAAGCCTCTTCTGTACATTTTATCCTCTGGGTAAAATGGGAGCCGATGTAGTCAAATGAAATTATTTCATCATTCATGAGAAATAATTTGATTATGAGTGACATCTTGCGATCATGAGATCACATTTCTCTTTAAGAGACTTCAGTGAAAGAAGAATGATTCGGCTGAATTGGAAATTCAGCACGTTTGTGCAGATGGCATGTAAATATTTTACACCGTTGTTGTTCTCTTCATCATTCTATGCATATATTCAAATGAAGCAACTTATACGTTGATCTTGTAACATGCTGCAAAAAAGAAGAGAAACATGATTGCCCTCAGAGCTTTGTCTTCTTCGAAACATACAGGTTTGAAGTTTCTGACAGGACAGGACTGATAAGGCTATATTTAGCCGCATTGTTTGATTATCCCTTATGGACCAACCGCTAGCCTCATTTGGTGTACATGAAAAAGTGACGGTTGCGGATTATACTGTTTCCAATTTTATGAAAACGCATCGGCAATCACTGATTTTTTAATCTTCTTATTACCTCAACCACAGAAGGACAGACAAGACTCACTTCAATTAAGTGTTTTTAGCTCATAACTTTGTATATATTTTCTTATTATTTCCGTGAATACAGTGTTTCCAATCAGATCTGAAAGCTTCCTAGATTTTTTTGTAGAATTTATTTTGATCTGAGAAAAAATAATGGGATTTGTAAGTTCTGATTATTTAATGCCTCCTTTGTATTAATATTTGTGCAGCATAAAGACATTGAGAACAGAAGCTTGAATGTATATATTTTTAAAGAAACATTCCACAACATGGAATGTTTCTAATAAATTAAATTTCTTGCCGGTAAATTATTTTTAGGTGTGGATGCTACTTTTCATCCCCCCCTCCTTCTCAAAAAAAAAAAAAAAAAAAATTAACTAACATGTACTCGAAACATTTATTAGTTTCTATGAGCATCACAAAGTAGGTAATTATTTCTAGTCAATGACTGTGGAATGCCGCTGAGGATTCAAGCAGTTTCTCATCCTTCATAATCACTGAAAATTATGATTGAAACATCATCACAGTTTTGACCGTCCTAATATCTACCTACGCTTACTGTTTGTCTTACATTTTATCATTTTTAATTGTCTTACAGTTTTTACCAAATTTTTTAGTCATTGTTTTAGTATTAAGTAACCTAACTAGATTTTGAAGGCAATGGGGCCTTAACCTTCTCTTCAAACATCTAATTAGTATCACAATATGCAAATAGATAATTGTTTTTTGCTTTTTCACTTTTCTATAGACTTAATGTAACAGGCAGTTTACCTGAATCTGTTGATCAGTGATAATTAAATTCTCTTTTGAAAATCCCATGAGAAATTGAATCCTTCTATTATTTATAGAACGGAAAGCAAATTGAATCTCTCAGTTCAAAAACGACCCAACTCTGGTTTTTTACAATGTTCATTATTTTGCGTAGAAACACTCCTTTTCTGGCTCTTATGCAGTTTCTATCGACTCCTGAATAATTTAATTATTGGGAGGGGGCTCGTTTTTGAACTGAGACTAGAGTTACAATTGTAAATAAAGCCGCGTATTAAGAAGAAATAAAAATTTCCTATCATTATGCTGTAAAATTGCGTTATTTACAATGCCTTATTTTGCAGAATAATGGCAATAATTTTTTTTTCTTAATTTTCTTTAGTATCGCTGCTTCTCCACCAATGCTCAGTCTAGTATCTTAGATTGTGAAACAGAGACTGAAATAGTCTACTGTAGCGCCTCTCTCAGGAAAGTAAGATACATGTAAAAAGTGTTGAAGGAATTTGAATGAGGGAATATTACAAATCTGTTCATTAAAATTTTTATTAACATAAAATAATTGCAACATCTAAGTTTATAAGTCATAATCAAGTGTGTGAATTCTCCATAAAGAATTTGAAAGCACGGAACAAACTGTACACATATCTATAATCTCAAATTTGATCATCCAAGAGTTGAAAGTTTAATGGGGGAAAAAAATTATTAAATTACCTGAAAGTATTCAAATAGTATTTACAATTGAACTGTACAAACCTACATTTTGTGAAAGAGAAAGAGTCCATGTTTTCAACAGAAGCCTTTGTTAAAAATTATTTGTTTTTACTGTGTAGCTCTGATTTATTCATGACAATAGTTTGTAAAGTCTTTCTATTTTTTTAAAAAATAGGGAGGAATATACTCTGCTGTGATTCACAAAAATATGAAAGAAAAAAAAATCACTCGGCTGAAAGGGGGAAAACAACAGCATTCCAAAAATTATATTTTTGGTAAGACAGCTTCTTTCTCTATAGATTATCTGATGATAAGGATTTCATTGACATTAGCCTCAACTTCTTTAAAGTTTTGTATTTGGTACTTTAAATTTGAACATGAGATAAAAAGTATTAAGATTCACCAAAATATTCACCCCTTAACTGGAAAAAAATTGCTGTGATATCTGGTAGAAAATAGACCTGTTAAACGTATGAACATTACTTAATAGGTACAGCAGTAGAACTACTTATAATCCTATTATTTAGGCTGAATTTATTTTGGCCTTATAATAACATTCAGCCAAAAAAATGACCGTCATTCTGGTATTATTAGAACAAATCTTCACCTCGTTTAGCTATTATCAGACAGGATTTACCATTGTAAAGTAAACAGAAATCTGGAAAAAAGTGCACCCACTTAATTCCAATTTTTTAATTCTCATTGTTTCCAGAGGCCGAAGCTCTTTCAAGTAATGTTATGAGAAAGAAGCTGTCCAACTCTCTAACTTAATTATGTTCATTACCTAAATTTAAAACATAACATTTAAAATTATGGAGATAAATATTTACAACTAAATTGGCATTTGATGCCTAATTTATCTCAAACCTGTACCAGTCAGTATCATTTGCACCAGCACTTCTTTTACCATATGGGTATGCATACGTTGTAGGCAAATATTTAAGTCAACTATTATGTCAAATGGAGGTGTGAAAGTGTGCTTGAAGTTCAGAAGATTTTGGTTCTCTACAGACGAGCAAAAACTGACTTGTTATACTTTTGCATCTTCAGAGTTTCTTTCGCAATAAGAGCAGCAAAAAATTCAGTATATTATGTGGAGAAAGATCAGTTAACTCTCTACCTAGACAAAACACTTGATTTTACAATTTGCCTACAATATATGAGGTTAATTTCCAAGTATGCAAAATAGTATGTTGAGCCCGTCTCAGATAAATTTTCCTTTTTTGCTGCCAGCGCAGAAGAAGCAACTCCCTATTCTGTGTGCACAGTGAAAAAGGACAAGATATTTCAAACAGGCTATACCATTGGACTTACTCCAAGCTTGCTACATCAGATTTCTTATAGTCAGAAATAGAAACTTAACTGGTAAAACTAGCGCTTGAATCGTTTCTCTGACTACTAATGACAGCAACAAACTTTGGATAGTCAACCTATCCTGCAAAGTTTTTATGTAATACTGTACCACAAATGCAGGAAAGATTTAAACAACACTTTGCAGAAATTTACATGAACAAATTTATATGTACCAGTAAATTCTATGAGATCAAGCTTTTGTTTTAACTTTGTAAACTCTCTTTTTTATCTTGTTGTTTTTGTAAATAATACAAATTTTGTTCATAAAACTATTTTTTGTAAAGTTCGTCATTCTTATTGCAGGAGTTTTCATTGCAGGAGTTCTCTAATTGTCTTTTAAATATTTATCCAATGGATTGGGTCCTTTTAAATTGTGTGGTGGTATGATTGTACTCATCCCTGTAAAAAGTACATTAGAATTAAATGCTTGAAATTATTTTTGATCATTTAAGAGTCGTGAAAGCGAAGCAAAATAACATTTTCCATTCCTACTTTTCTTCATGTTTTAAAATGCACGATTCTAAGACATGCAGAATGTAATTTTAACTGAATGGCACTGAATATTAAAGCTCCCTGACTACCATGAACCAAAATGTCACGTTGATTCCAGAAGTTAACAAATGGAGATGCAATATTTGCCTTTAAGATTAGCACTCAGTGTTTTTTCAGCGATCATATTCACAAAACTTCAAGGACGCATTCTTGTTGTTGCATAGTTTCTAATGTTTCTTACACAATTTGATGAAAAGAGGCTCATGAATTTTAAGAATGAGGTTTAGTTCAAGGATTAGTTTTGTGCCAACTGCATCACCGACTACAATGTTTTTGCTACAGAAAAAACCCTGTCTTTATTTTCTCAATGTTTCCATCTTATTTGATGAGAAAGCTCGTATTGTGACATCTGATGTGTGCTATCAAAATTTTATAAACATGGGGTCCCTTTAATATATTGCATGACCATTTGACATTAAGTCCTCTATCAAATCATTTTGTGCCTCAGAGGTTTTATTGAAATCTGGATCGCATCCTTAGGTTTGTGCTTATAAAATGCTGAAGAAGATTGTAGTCGTCTTCAATGTGATGAGAATTGAGGTGATAGAGGTGTCATCAGTTAAGTTGACGGTTGTGTACTTTCGGTTAGCAAGTGCCAACGACGAATTTGGGTCTCTGCGCAAAGCGGTGTTCGCTACTATCCACCTTGACATCATCCGTCTCATGATCGTGTCGTAAAAAACTACCTATCAATTATCATTCGCGACTTTTATGTGGTTGTGATTTCTGTGTGGCTAAGAATTAAGGTGTTACAAGGTTTGAAAGTATTAAAAAACGTATGTAAGCTTGTGGTCTTTCTTCTGCGAGAGTCGGATGTTTTAATGTGGATAGTAGTGATGCGAAAACGCTTGCAAACTGAAAGTAAACAACCGTCAACTTAGCTGACGACACCTCTAAGTACCATGTCCAAACTATTTTTAAATACAGGAAGATAGGAGACCAAAAAGCAGTTCCAAGTTCTTGCTTTGCTTAAACCACTATTGTTAGTAAAATCCAAGTGTTAGCACACTGAGAACTAAGCAGTAGAGTTGAGTATTCGGCGTATGCAGAATTTTTAACTCTCGCATACCTTCTAAAAACAGGAAACACTTTTAAAGCTCTTACCTTGCTGAGGATTCATTTGCACAATTTTCAAACAAGCCAACCACTCTGTTAGGCTTATTCGGTTGTCTTGATTTACATCACAATATTTGTTAAGCCTCCTCCCACATCTTTGCAATAGCTTATTTCCAGTCATCATCGTTCGGAATGGCTTCCATTCTTTCCTCTCCAAAAACTGAATAAAAACACCAAATTAAGTGATGAAGGGACCATGTATTATGATGTTAGAGTATTTGACATGAGTTTGCGACCATCAGACCAAAAACACCATCAAGCATTCAATGAATTCCCAGATAAAATGCCAAATACTTGAATTAACTATAATGTCTTGCCTCATTGTCTATGCTTCTCATCAACTGTAGATCCACAACTAGATGGTAATCAAATTTTAATAGTCGTATTTTTAAGCCTCTTTTTAAATGTTAATGATTGGTGGACTCTATTGTCTTGAAAGTCAGAAATCACCAGAAAAAGAGTAAGGAAGCAATGAGGGTAATAAATCCATAAATGTAAGGAGAATGAAGCCTTCTTGAACAATCAATCATCCATGAAATTGTCCTTTCCTGAGAATGAATCTCTTAGCTTCTCCAATTGCGCTTAAAAGATTTAGTTACAAACCTTGTTTTTGCTTTCATCTAGATACTGGAAGTAGGAGGTTAAAATTTGCTCTTCATTTCCTAATGCCCAAGTCACTTCACTTCCGTTACTGAAATCAAAAAGATAAATCATGAATTATCATCGCCAGCAATATATTATTTTTTTCTTTCCAGATTTGTAAGGAAGGACTTCTAATTTTAGCTGCAAAACTCCCTGAAACTTATAAGTAGAAGTGTCACAAAATTAAGTCAAGTAAACGATAAAATAGAAGATTTTTAGGAATCAATTGACAACATTTTACCGGCCCCAATGAATGATCTAAACAATTTCCGAGTTGACTTTTTTATGTTTTAAAGTAAGACCTCTCATGGGAGAAACAGATTTCTAGATTTCCACCAGTCAGTGTGAAGGCTCTTCATTTGCAGAACTGGACAGCAGTCATCAAGCTTTATTGAAATGAGGTTGGTAAATCAGCTACAGATTTTAGATACAATATTGATGATGTAATAGTAAAAACTGTCGTGATGCAAGGTATCATGAGTGCGAAGTGGTGCAAAGGGTGTTGACAGTTTACCTCTTAAAAATCTCCAAAAAAGTAGCGTACTGAAGCGAGTAGTTTTTAGTTGCATAATAACTTGAGCTCCTTTGAGCCAATGACAAGATTTCCGTGATTTTCTCCTTACGATAAACTTTAAGCGATCATTTCAAAACAGCAATAAAAATTGAGAACATTTACCTTGATTTGTAATTTGATAACGTTTCTTTGAATATTCTGGTGAGATCCTGTGAAAATAGAACCTTTTTTGCCTCTGGGCAACCTAAAATCAGAGGAAAGTTCATATCACTCAAGTTTTAATGTATCCAGTGCTCAATGCAGGCCATAAAAAATATGCATGACTTAGATTTACAATGAACTTCAGAATTGTTTTTAGAATGTTTAAAAATTGAGTATGATAGATGACAGATTTCGATTTGGAACAGAATCAAAAGTTCATGCCTATCGTCACTTTCACTAAAATTTTTAGTCAGTTTTATTAGTGGAAATCTTATCACATATATTCAATTAATTTTTTTCTTTTAACTTTTCATTACAGGCAAAGATTTTAAGACCTGTTGCAAGTGTACGGGGCAAGTGACGGGAAATTACGAACAAACTAGGCATTGATATGAATAGAATTACGCAAACAAAAAGGAAGAATGAAAAATAATCGTATAAAATAGTTAGTATATTTCATATTTTATGATAAGTTCTATGTTGACGTGTCTTTAATTTAGTAAGTGAACTTTCAAGTCCACAAAGAAGAATCTGTAGGTTGGTAGCATTGGAGCTCAAGATAAATGAGCTACTTAAATGACATCTGATAAAATAATTACCTTTCATCGGTCTGGGAGGAGACTGCAGCGTATCGCAAGATGGCCTTTGGTTGTACCTAGCTGACCCTGGAATCGTTTTCCCAGTATCTTCATGAGCACACCAACAGTAACCTATAATACAGATTCATGCAAGCATTAAAATAGTGGCTTCTTTCTTTGTTGTTTCTGTTCTTGGTCGGTCAGAAATTACTGTCCTCAAACTAAAATGATGCACGTGAAGTTGTGTAAAAGAGTACATATAAAAAAAATAAAATTAAAACAGATTTGTTTGCCTTTTGAACGAAATGAAAGAATTGCCCCGTATTAAGAATGCATGAGGTCATGACTTTTTGTGGTGTTGCCAACTTATTGTACTACTTTCTTTCACTTCATTTTAACACTTATTTGTCATGATCATAATTTTTTTCTTTTTTTTTTCTACAGGAAAGAAATCAAATGATAAAGCTGCCCCCACTAAAAGAGAAGTCAAAGAGAAAATTCTCAGGAATTCCATCACGAAAGTATGATCTAACCTCTCTCTCTTCCCACCTAGTGTCCGGTGCCCTGTCTTTTGGTTTTTTTACAGCAATATTCCAAAAGAGTTAAAAACAGGTAAAGGAATTTCCTTTTTGCTCATTCATGTCATTCATTTTCCAGCTGATTTAATTTTAATCGCGAATTTTATTTTATTTTTTACTTTTTTATCTCGTTACTCAAGTGAAATGTCCTACACCATTTAAATTTTCTTACCTTTTGACTTGAAGCACTGCACCTTCTCGTACCTTCCATCGGGTGTACATTCTGGAACATAGTTTGGAGTAGGCCTGAACTGTAACTCATCCAAAGCAGTTTGTCTATCATAAAGACATCCACTTGCTGAAATGAATGAAACAAGACAGAGTCAAACTTTTTTGTATCTGGAAATGGCTAATTTTACTGACACCCTTGCTTGAACTTCCGAAAGATTTTTTTTAGAAAAGACAATAATCTCTTCATACCTCATGTATAGTCTCGTTTATTAGTAAAAAAAAATATTCACTTATTTATTGAAAATCATACCCTCCATCGGATCAGCTTCAGGAACAGATTCAATGGGTAGTTTAGAATCGTCGGAGTCCCCGTCTATCCCTCCTTCATAGGGAAGCAAATCTTCTTCGGCGTCCATGCTGCCCAACGCATGCGAGTCTTCCTCAAATTGATCGACCTCAGGTGTTTCCTTCTTCACTTCCTTCGCCGGTGAAGCTGAAGATTCTTTTCCTCCATCGTCTTTCTTGTTGGCTGAAAAGTATGGTCACTATTTTACATTATTTGGATGCACTCTCCGACTTTTCGCTTAGGAGAAGGAAATTTCTAAAACTGAATTGTATCATTTTTGGCATACCATTTTACCAAACGACATCAAAGTTGTGGTATATTCTCTGTATGAATGCAGTTTTGTATTGCTTCAAATGCTTAAGTATTTTTCCTTCAGTTTTCCAAAAGAACACTCAAACAGATTTTAAACGACAACTCAATTTTTGCTTTTTTCTAGTCAAAAATGAGATTGTAATTATTTCGAAACGTCCTGGTTTTATTTTTATGTTTTGTATTTTATTGCAGCCTTTCCCCAGAATAAGTTGTTATTTTCTTATATGTACAGATGATTGTTTAAGAAAAAAAACCAAAATAGCTTAATTGATGTTTGTTTCTGAGGAGACCATTTGATGACCTCTGTAGTAATCCACAATTTTATTTTCATCTCTTGAATTTCTCAAATAGGTACGGTATCAAGTCTCAGAAATTACAAATATTTAATCTTTTACTTCAATCACTAGGAAGGCGAATATTATTTTTTTTAAGGTTTTCTTATAAGCAACCTTGGAAAAGAGCGAGGAAAATAATCTCAATTTTATATGAGTCATCCAGAGACTTTATAATTTACGTAAAATTAAATTATTTACAATTTGCAATATACTTACTCTCATGTCCAAAACTAAGACATTTAATCCATTCAATTTCCGTGATGAAAGCATCTTTGTTCTCATCACAAAGGGGAATGAATGACTTGGCGCAACGTTTCGGTTTCACAACTTTTTTGACAAGCCGTCTTAAATTCCTGAACTCAGCTTTGGATAGATTTTTACTTCTATCAACGTCCAAGACAGAAAATTTCCACTTCACTGCTTCCTGCTTCAAGTTTTCTTTTGAAGATGGATTTTCTTTGCTAAAATCTAAAATCAGATTTACAAAATGCTCCATTTAGATATTTTAACTGACAATTTTTTTCATGATGAGGTCCTATCCTACGAGCAGATATATGCAGTGTGCATGCGCATTGGTTGTAATGCATGGGGTTTTTCAGGCTGCACATGACTTATAATATTTAATCATGTGTGGTGCCACCATCCTAAAATATAGGAAGGGAGAGTTTAGGAGTAGGTTCATCGGTTTATGTCAGCTGTTGCTTTTATTTTTCTGTTCAAAACATGTCAGTGTTAACGAAGTTACAAATTTTTAATTTATGACAATCTCAACCAAGAAAGAAAATAAGTGACTGGGCTTGATGGAATAATGTGTGCGAAAAGGCTATTGTCCAACAAGCGCCTCTTCATTATCACAAAATTAAAACATAGGTTGTTTTTATTAAAAACTTCATGAAGATTGCAACCCAAGATCTGTGTTAGCTTTTACAAACCTGTAGCATCTCTATTGTTTAGATTTAATGGGCATTTACACTTAAGACAGTCACTTGTACCACACAACAGCCTTGGATACTCTGATCTTAATGAGTGAAATCTTAGCCAAAGAAAATAATTCTGAGACTAGAAATTGATGAATAAAAATGTACTTACTGCTATTTTGAGAAATATCTCTGTTATATTCTGTGCTAAAAAAATATACAAGATTATTTACAAATTGCGCTCTGTCTCCAGCATCACAATCTGTAAGAGAAAAGAAAAATATAGTTAATCAGTCATCATTTTAGCAATCCATGTTTGCACTGAAAGAAGAACAAATTCTCAAGAATACTTCCATCAAGTTTTTCATAATTTCCTCATTTTTCAAATTCCCTAACTCATCCCAATTTTCTTTTCTTTTTCCCGAACTGCAAAGTTTCTGGATTTCCTTCCTGATTGTTACCGGATTCTTTTTTTCTGTAACCCTCAAACAGAACTCTCCTTCAGTTTGTTTATTTATTTATTTTTTTTTTTCATTTTATTTAAGAACTCTAACTTTTTCTGAACTTAAGCCGAAATTTCCACTTTCTAAGACTCATTATAAAAATCAGCAGTTTTTACTGTCTCTGATGGTATCAAATGAAGTTGCAATGCCCAACTGCCCATGTGCTTCCAGTAATTTTTTTTACCTTGCCCAAGAATTCTATGTCTCTTCCTGACTTTCCCGGTTTGCCAGATTGCCAGGAACTTTGATCAGATGTTTAGTGGCAAAAAGTTGTTTCTTCATTTTAATGGAGTTAAGAATTCACCTTTATGCAGCTCGCTTTTAGACTCCCAGCAAAACCTATAGCATTAGAAAATTTTGATCTTTTTTTCCAACAGCCATTAAATCAGAAGCTTTCATGTAACTGAAAAAAGTACGCATTAAAAATTAACTGAGAGAATACTCACTTCTTCTTTGGTTTCTTGAATTATTCCGGCCCTGCTTTTTCGATTTACCTAAGGAAACGAAAATAAAAACCAAATTATTTCACATTTTCGTTTATCCTACCTCAAATTTGCTAATTGACGGAAACCCTCTAGCAAGGGACACGTAAACCACTTAGCCGTGCATAATATGCTTGAAAATCAAGATTAAGAAGGTTTTTTTTTTTTGTGTGAGGGAAGGGTGGGAGGCCGTAGAGCCTCCTCGCGCTAGTCGATTTATTGGTGTCATGTTCACTCACCCGTTTCAGCGATTACTATTCGAGCACGGCCGTCGTGAAGTTGCCTATTCACTGTTCTGAAGGCGATTTTCACACATGCATTGCGCAGTATAAACTCACGTGAGTTCTCGTCAACGGTCAAATTGGTTTTCATCCTCTCCAGCAGTGGTGAGGCGTGCCTTCATGACCGCTCAAAAATCTATCACCAACCTAAGCTGCAAAATTTGTATCTCGTGTATCGGTCGAGCTAAAAAAGAGATCTTTTTTTAACCGCATACCAAGGAATCGCTTTTAAAATAGCTCATCGCTGCCCTAACAAATTTTCGGAGCATTGATGTTAATATTTGGGTCTTGGCTCAGAGTCTTCCCGAAATCCAATCCTAATTTTTCCCGTCGTAGACGATTTTGTCTCCGAATTTTTAAAGTGGCTTTGAAATCGGCACTTTCCGTGAATGAATGTTCACCTGTACAGTGCAAAGTCTCTGCACCGATTCACTTATTTTCCGTTGAACCCCTCTCTCCCCCTTTCATTCTTCAAGATGAGTGTCTCTCGAGGTCAAGAGAAGAGTGACAAGTTCTGGAAAATTCAGTAAACTTTGTCGGAACCTGAAAAGTCAGGATATTTTGTGCAGATTCTTGAATTGTAGAGCATCGTACTCTTTGCGTTTTGAGATAAGCGCGTCGAAAGTTTTTCGTGAAAAGACTGTCATGAAAAATTGTGTATAGAAGAAAAAAGAACCAACGAAAATTGTGTGAGCATGTGTGTTGTGTTTTTTTTTATGTGCATATGCATACGTCGCTCTTATATCGCGCTATGGCGCACCGCACAACCAAACATCACATGTGCCTGTCTTTTCTAATGGTCATGGAGCAACTAACAACGCACCGTCTTTACACTTGTCCAAAACCCCTAAAAAGTCAAAGGACTTTCAAGTCCAAGAAAACTTATCACCCTGAGATATCAGAGCAGGAATTCGCTCCCGGAAAGGGTATATACTCGAGCTCCCCATACGAGGGCCGTCCCTAAATTACTTAACGCTCGGGGGGGGGGGGGTGAGAAGAACGTTACGCCATTTTGTTTTTTGATGTTAAAGGGCAAGGGATCTTACGTCACAAAAGCGTTAAAAGGAGGGAGGTGGGGGGTCAAAAATGCCGAAAAGTGCGTTACGAAATTTATGGACGGCTCCTAACCACGAAGGCTCACCGTGGATCGAATTAATCTGAGAGCAGACATTAAATTTTTTACTGAAACTGCAAATTTTGATGTTTATTTCGTCACATTTTAAATTTTAAGGAGTGTCCCTAGAAGAAAATTTCATGAGGAAACCAATGAAACCACTTTTAGAACCTCTGAGTTTGGTATAAACGGAGCTTTCTAAGCATCTTAGCTTTTGAAGTCGCCAAATTTTGTCCGACCTCTCCTATTGACTCGTCCTCCGTGAGGCGGATCCAGACACTTCGAGCGGAAGGGGATGTCCGGCGGGCTTCTCCCAGAGAATTTGCGACATTTAGGATCTAATATGCAGTTTGGGTAAATTTCGTAATGAACAATCACCAAAACTGAGCGTATTCCACTGGAAAAAAAAACACATTGGATCTAGAGTCCAGACTCTTGAAAACATCGACGAGAAAAAGGACTCTTGATTCAATCAGATTTAAGCTTAAATCAGAAGGAAATCCGCTCAAATTAAGAGGCTTGGTTCTTGATTTAAGCTTACATCTGATTGAATCAAGAGTATTTTTTCTTGTCGATGTTCTTAAGAGTCTGGACTCTGGATCCAATGTGTTTTTTTGTTTGTTTTTTTTTTCAGTGTTCCTTCTTCTTTCCTCCTTTTCCCTTCTTCATTTTTTTTTTCGGGAGAGGGGGGTTCGCGCCCCTTAAGCCCGCCCCTCCGCTTCTCTCCCCTTTTGGATCGACGTATGCTTAACCATGGAGAATAATTCCCACTTCGCATCAAAACACGGCCAATAAATTCAATGAATAGTGGGACGGGGACTGGTGACTCGGGTGAACGCGAATTGCATCCCGTGCCAAAAACACTCCTCTGTCAAACATGGGAAATCCACCCATCGAGATTGGTCCTCGCTGCCGACCGCTATAAATTTCCCACGGCTTCTGCGGCTCGACTCGGCGCACAATGACTCGAGCTATTGGATAAAATCGGACATTAAAATTTGTCTACTAAATCTGCGAATTTTCCATGGTAAAATCCTCACAGTTAAAATCTTAAAGGAGTGCTGCTTATGGAACGTTTACAGGCAAACTCACGAAACCACGTTCAAACCTCTACGGTTTGCATCCGGTGAAGGTATAAACTTCTGAAGTTCCCGAACCTCGTCCCAACTCTCTCGTCGATTTATTCCAGTGTGCGGCGGCCCGCGGTGCAGCGCAGCATGCAACTTGCCAATATAAAGGCAACACCCTAAGGTTTACACTCGCAGGGTAATAAATATTTCCTCGTGTCGAGAAATCCCGTGAAACAATTTTCGGACTTGATACGTATTATCCTGACTATTTTTGCGAGTGAATAAGCGCCCTCGTAAAAATGGCAACCATGCTGTTCAAAATTTCCGTGTTTCTCTCAGAGTGGTATTTTTTTTCGTACAGAACAACCAAATGAACCTTGTTGATCGACCAAATTCTTGGTCAAATCGACCGAACTGTGGGTTTCTTTAGACATCTGAAGAAAAAAAAGTGTCAGCCTGCTGAACTATATATTTGTACTTATATTTCTCTCGATGTCACTTTCAGCGGAAGATCCCCGAACTCCCTTTGGTAATAAATATTTCCTCGTGTCGAAAAATCCCAGGATACAATTTTCGGATACGTATTATCCTGACTATTTTTGCAAGTGAATAAGCACCCTTGTAAAAAGAGCAATCATGCTGTTAAAAATTTCCGTGTTTCCCGTAGAGAGGTACTTTTTTTCGGCCAGAAAACCAAACGAACTTGGTTGTTCGACCGAATTTTTGGTAAAATCGACCAAAACCGTGGGTCATTCAAGACATCTGGGAATGAAGAGAGTGTTAACCTGCTGAACTATACACTGAAAAAAAATTCTCAGCGTTTTTACCAAGGTCCGTTGGTAACTTTACCATCTCACTTTTTTACCAATTATCGGTAATTTTACCAAGACAGACTGGTAAGCTTACCTAAAAACCGGTATTTTTACTGTTTTTTTCAGGTAAGAATACCACTTTTATTGGTAATCAATTCCTGGTAACTTTGCCATTTTATCTCGGTAATTCTACCACAGTTGATAAAAAATATTGGGGTTTTTACCAAGGTCCAGTAAAATTACCGAGAAACTTCAATAATTTTACCGAGATTCTCGGTAAAATTACCAATTCCGTTGATGGTAATTTTACCAAGAAAAAACTGGGAACAAATAGAACCCTGAATTCTTGGTAATTTTACCCTTTTCTTAGTAAATACACCGAAATTTTTCTTTCAGTGTACTGTACTCATGTTTCTCTCGATGTCCTTTTCAGTAGAAGACCCTCGAACTCCCTTTGGCCTGTGTCCGGCGAGACCCTCTGAACCCCTTTAACCTGATTTTAGCCCGGGGTCACGATATCGCCGATCCGTGCCCGTCAATAATTCGAAATATCGAGACACTCTGAACTTGGGGCAGAGGTCAATCGAATCAAATTGATTGAACTCCCCGGAGCGTGACGCGATGTCGGAATCGATCAGGCAACTTTCCTCATTGAGCTATTCTGAATATTATTGAAGTCTCCCGATGGAAACTTTCCGTCGAGCTTTTTCTGGTAAAGCAATCGGACGTTTAAATGGACGTATTTATGCAAAAGAAGTCTCTTTACGCGGGGAGATGAAGACACCCCTCTGCCTGCGGGATGGATTGGGTTTTAGGATTGAAGTTTGGAGGCCAAGTCGAGCCGAATTCGATGCTTAAAAGCTGCCGTAATAATGGGGGATTAAGCGGTAAAAGGAATGGACTTAGCCCGGTAGATATTGAGGCGCTCTTCTCAAGTTGCCAAGTTGTTTGAGTAAGTAATGCTCCAAGCGGAAACACTCACTGAAAAAAAACTTCGCCCGTGGAAGCCGTACTTCCGGGCTGTATAGACATATCGTCCGCGTTCCGGTCTCAAAGGTTGAAAATTCCGAGTGTAGCGGCCGGAGCAATCAAAGCTACGGTTCCAGCACCTGGAACTTTCGGCCTCTGAGCCCGGAACGGGCGGTATGTCTTCACAGCCCATAACTTTTTTCAGTGCTCTCACGTGAAAAACAAAGAGGTCCATCTGTGGGAGAATCTTAAAAACCTCTTTCAAAATGCACAGAAATGTGCTAATATTTTCGTTCGGAGTTACTCACAAATGACACTTGTGACACAAATGTATACTTGTCAGTATAATTTCAACTGGAAAAATCGTGCTCTACGTGAAATTTCGACGAGGGAATGCACGCCGTATTGATCAATTTGCGTATTTTGTTCGAACATAGAAAAAAGTTTGTTCATGCGACCCGCAGTTCAGGTCGTGTGGATCTCGGAAGATTTCTACTCGTGCACCCATCAATACTTGAGTTTCCCTGCCGCAGTTTGAGTTACACATCTGAGTACTCCAGTCCTCCGGTTGTCTGCACAGAAGTTCAACCGAAGTACCTAATTCTTTCAGATGTTTGATCAGCTTCACCCCTGGGACTTAAAGATTTTGGATGCTTACCGAAAATTTCACGTCCTGAATTTCAGGTCTCACGCAATAGATTTTTTTCTCCGTAAAGCGGTTAGTGGTCAATATATTTTGCCAAGCTTATTGTGTACTTTTTCCTAATCAGCGTGCCTACTAGTCCGGAATAGCACTGTTTTTTCAAGGACGGTCCGGAAGTACTGAAAGAGTGCGGAAATTCCGCAAGAAGGTCCGGAACTTTCTCCTCCATACTACGCGTGTTTTTTAATAAAGCCTGAAAAGTATGCAATCCCCTGCGCGTGGATTCTTAAGCCCGGGTCCCACGATCAAGTGAACTCATCAAATGCAAGATGGCGAGGGTGCGTACTGGTTTTCGCGCAAGTCCGCACGGGCTCTATTCATCAACATTTGACGGCCCGCCAACTTTTGATTGCGCAGAAACCAGTACGCATCTCCATAGAACAATGAAGCTACGCCTAGAATAAAAAGGCGTTAGCTTTATTCTTCTATGGCATCTCCGCCATCTTGCATTTGATGAGTTCATTTGATCGTCGGACACGGGCTTACGAATAATATTTGCCCGCAAGATCGCGATTGTGCAGTCCGATAATCTTCATGCTACCGATGAAATATTGTGTCTACGTCATTTAGTCGCATTCAATCGAGAATTTCAAATTTTCAACATTTTTCGAATTTCGTCAAATGGAGGCACTGGAAAAGCACCGACTCTTTCTGTTGAGGAGGTACTGAAATTTCTCGGGAATGTACTTTAAAAGCACTGATTTTCGGCCAGCCTGTTTTAGAAGATGAACATACTTTCGCAACATCGCCGGCTAGAACACCTTTACAACTTTTGAACCAAGCACCTTCTATCCATAGGTAGCAGTGGATGCAGTGGAAAAAAAATTCGATTGTATTTAGAGTCGAGACTCTTTAAAACATTGACAAGAAAAAAATACTCTGTATTCTATAAGACTTTTTGCTTGTATCAAAAGAAAATCCGCCTACATCAAGAGGCTCGGCTCTTCGATTCAAAGAAAAATCGGATTGAATCAAGAGTATTTTTCTTGTCAATGTTATTAAGAGTCCGGACTTTAAATTCAAGCGACTTTTTTCCAGTGCGCAGGAGGAGGGTTGAACTCCGAAGCTCGGAGAGGATCTCAGAGTTCCTCTTGATTCCCGTTCGACCGGAAACGGAAACGAAAGCGACCCGACGCTGGCAGTGACGGAGACACCGGGCGAGAGTCCCCCCTGCGAATCGTCAGCTTTTCCGGGGTGCCTTTGAGGGGGAGGGGGAGAGGGGAGGGCGAAACTCCCACATTTTCAATCGTTCATTTTGGCAAAGTGGCTGTATAGATGAGTCGGGGTGGGAAGAATCCATTAGATCCAATAGCTTCGCCGTGTCTGTTATCGATTGGTGGCCAAAGCCAAAAATGATGCAGATTTGAATACGACAGGGAAGCCTCCGTGCGAAGCGCTCGGAGAGTGAACCTTCCTTGTAAAGCGGTTAAGCAATATTGGCACCCCCGACGTTTGTTGCAATGTTGCCTAACCAATAAAAATTGGGGTATAAAACAACTTTTGGTTTTCAATTTTCAGGAATGAGTGAGTTGCGCTGGTCTCAGAATCGTGCATTAATGCTTGATTCTTGTTGATCAGCTAAAAATATTAAGATCCGTCTAAACAGCAGCCTCCTACTACGTTCATTATCAAGCGAGACATCGCGCTTTGAAAAATTCGGTTAATGACTTCATCCACCGCAACTGACAGCCTTTGTTTCTTCCACCTTGATTTCATCAGATCACCCAGAGGAATTCGGTTTTTTTACGGTTAAATCGTCCGAATTTCGGTTAAATAGTTTACTGTGAGATCTGGGAATGAAGAGAGTGTCCTGCCGAACTCATGTACCTACTCTCGTCTCTTTAAATGTCGTTCAGTTGTTGCGAGTGGCCACTTGGCCAGTGCCTTAAATTCTTGTCGATGCGATTCAGGCTGCTAGCGCTTGGTTTTAAACGAGGTTGCTAATTTTCATTTCTTCCAGAAATTCCTGCCGATTTCTTCGAGAAATCCATCTCCGTTGCTTTTAGCATTCACTGTTTCCGTTTCCTCAACTGTCGAAGTACCCATCTATCCTTGACTTTGGGCCAATTTGCGTTCCACCTTCCATTTCAACACAGAATATTGGTTACGTTTCCTGACGGTGCGGAGCATCGCTCATATGATATCATTTCGGCTCCAGGCCACGAATATTGAAGAATTTTAATTATTCGTTCTGTCAAACTTGTAACTTTGCAAGTTTGCCAGAAGATTCGAAAGAGATGGGAAAGGGTCTTACCTCTTGGAGGACATTTGGGCAAAGCGTGGGCGACCGAAGTGTTGGGGATGGTCTTGCCCATTGGCGTCACACACCAACAGAAGGCGGCCTCCTCGTGACACTGCACGGGAGCATACCGCCCATCGGCTCGACATTGTGGCGTGTAACCGTAATTTTTTTGATTCAGCACCTTCCAGCATGGCTGCTTCTCTGCAAAGAAACAGAAAATCAAGCAATTCAGTAGACGTAGAATTATAAACACCAAAAATAAAAAATGATTCTTTCAAAGTAATCATCAAGAGGTCCCAAATTGCTCGCTCTAACAGGTGTGAGATACTGAATTTGATGTGTGAATTACTCAAATTTTGGGACGAAATTGGCCCCATTAGAAACAGTCGACTCCGTTTTTAATCGAACCCAAGCGTTCAATTCATGAAAGCATCATCCTTTTTGGGGTGTAGAAAGTTTCTCGCTTTGACAACTTTCAAGCTTATTTGAAACTCTCTACACGCGGAATAACGCGCTTAATCATTTTCCTCTCATTTTTTTAGCGCGCTTGAAATCCCTCTGCACAAAAAACAGCGCGCATGGCAATCGACAGTTTCCTATATACGCATTTTTCAGCGCGCTGAACAATTGCCATCACATTTGTCAACACACTTGATATGCTTCCTTCGCGGTTTTCAGCGCTTCCTTCATTTAATGTAGAGTGCACTTGAAATTCATGCATTTCAGTAAAAAATACCACAAGAGTACTGAAATAATAATTCAGCAATCGTAAACCACACAAACTCACGGCGTCCACACATTTTTCGCGACCAGATCCGTCGTTCGGTCGCAAAAGTTTTGCACCCCTGCATTCCTTTTTTCAACGTAATGGTTTCCTGATGATCGCGTTTAAACAAACATAAATCGCGAGCCTCGATTCATGACGTCATTGAAACGGTGGCTGCAAAAATTTTGGAAGTGTCTGTTTATCAGGTCACTGTTTTTGGCCCCCGATCCGTTACTAATAAGTCATATGTGCATCCTCTATTCTTACCAGTGATGCATGTGTCGAAGGCAATTAGCCTTCGGCGGTAATTTGCAAGTCAACGGTGAATAATTATCTAAAAATCAAAACTAAGAAATTTGCGAACGAAGGAACAAGATTATGCAAATGATTATTTTGCCTTTAATTTGAATATTCTCCCGTATCCCTCAGTCAAAACAAGGTGGTAACTTTCATTCAGGAGAGCTCGAGATCCGTGCGGTCTCATTGTTAGTTGGGTTCAGATTAGACATGCAACTAAACTAACTTCGTGACAATGCGTGGAGTATGACAAAAAATGAAGGCGCTCCAAGCCGAGATCATGATTTTGATTTGAAAGCCGTTACCATCATAATGCCGATGCAGATTATTGCGCTTCGCCTAGAGAACACGGAAACCGGTTTCAAGTTCCTCGCGATTGCGAATCGCCTGCGACCTGAATCAATAAAATTTAAAGAACAAAAACTTAATTGCGCATGCAGAGGATAACGGGGCGTGAAGGTCGGAAGGGCAACACATTTTTTCAACGCTGAAACAAACATTTTTCAGACTAAGAGAACCGGAGCCTCTTGTCTCAACATCTCTGGAAATCGCAGCAAGGCGTTTTGAAATTATGATACCTGCGAACTTGCGGCTTCCTTCAGAATTTGTTTTCCTTCGTGATCTCTCGAGGGTCGTATGGAATGAAGCGGTTGCCTATGCTGCCGTGCTAAGGAAAAATGCCGTACGAACATTCTAGAGTTGCCAAATTTCCTTTGATAAAATGTTTATTTATGAGGAAAATTATGAATATTTTTCCTTGAAAATTTCAGGAATTTTTGATCAAAATACGAGCAATATTCTCTGAAAAATTGGAAGAAAAATATTCATAAGTTTACCAGAGAATTCGTGTTGTATCGAAGAAAATTTGGCAACGTCTGAAGGTTCATACGGCGTTCTTCCGTAGCACGTCGGTACGTATAGTATTATTTGGATAGGGACTCCGCTCAATTCGGCGCCCCTCTGGCGTAAGGGCGTATTTCTATTTTCACATGAGACCTGGAAAGCATAGAATCATATGGGGGACTTTGAATAGTTGATTGAATTTTCAGTAGATGATCAATTGTTGACGACGAATTGCAGCCTTGAAATTTTAATGCCCTCACACATGTATCATATTGACTTCAGAGTGTGAATAGCTGCAAAATTTCGTTTATATAGATCTCAATGTTAAAAAGTAAACAGGAGGCAGGCGGACTTTGAAAGACCCTTGATTTTTACTTTCTAAACTTTGGCAACACTTGAAGAGTCGAGGATTTGAACTTTTGACAGTGTAGTTTCCTTCGAACTCAACCGCGAGATAGTGACTCCCTCTGAGCCTAAGATAGTGCTTCCACAATGCACGCTAACTATCAGTTGCGAGGGGAAGTTCAAGACAATGCAACTCACGTAATTAGTTGTATGAACTCTAACTTTGCTTCAGAAAGATGAATTGCCGAGACAGCAAACTTATTCTGCTGCGGACTGTGCCGGAAATATCCTCAGAATGTTATATTGCCGCCAGCTCAGTCGTGCCAAATGGGGGCTCAAAATATATTGTGGTACAAGTTGGCAGTGATTTTTATGCAAGCACGCCGAGTGCAACCTTGCACTGCATTTGAACCCTCTTACGCAAAATATTTAAAAGTAAAATATTTTCAGTAAGTACAAAATCCAATCTCAGTATATTTGACGCGCACCGAGAAGCGACTATTCGCGGTAGGGTAAGAACTGCCCTCATTTTTCGGTGTTACCAAACCATGACTCCGTAAAATAATTACATCCTTCGCTCTCTTGGGTTGTACGTCCAAAGCTGTCATCTGATTACACTGTAGAAAAACTACCAAAAGCTAGTAATTGCCTTCAATTTTCGATGATACCAAATCGTGACACTGACGTTAAAATAGTTGTATCATTCGTTCTCTTGAGTTATACGCCCAAAGCTGCTATCTAATTACACTGTGGAAAAATTACCGAGGGCCAATAATTGCCTTCAACTTTCGGTGATACTAAATCGTGACACGGACGTTGAAATAGACGTATCCTTCGTTCTATCAAGTTGTAGCATTATAAGTGGGAAGACACAAAATACAACACATCGAGTTTCAGTGTAGTCGTCTGGATACTACCTGCCTCAATTTCCGCTGGCTCAACAAATCATAACCGCTGATTATCCCGGAATTTATTTTCACGCCAGTAGGGTGGAAAGTTTCGCCCACATGACTTTTCCTTTGGCAGCCCCATCGGGGCCCGGACAAACTCCGCTCTTTGCAAATATTGAGTGGGCCTCCATGTACCCTAGTAATAGGGATTTCTGCTCGGCCGAAATGAGGCATCTTTTCTTCTCGGTCGATGTCAAGACACGACACGGAAGGCAGATCACGGATCACACAAAATTAAATTAAAAAAAAAATAAAAAAAAATATCACAGTAAATTATCACAGCACAACTCGCAAACACTCCAAGAAAATAGATATCACAATAAATTAATAAATCACATTAATAAATAAATCACAGCACAATTCCAAAACCTCCAAAACAAAACCACTCGTCTGACTCGTCCTGATACCGGCATGTAAACAAAAACAAACCGAAATTTTGAGGTTACAGCAAATCTCCCGCCAATATTAATCTCCAACCCGCTTCTTCTTCTTCAATACGAGAATCAAGGACGGTGATTGGATAAAAACAAATTCCTCTTTTTCGGTCAATCATGCAACATTGTAATCTGCCGCCACGTTTGAAATAGACATACTGTCTATCGCTCCCTGTTCCATCGCCGTCCCATCGAGGTCCGTGGTCGCAAAAATTCTAGCGATGGAACTGCTATAGAACGAACCCGCACTTCCATCGCCGGGAGCCATAGAAGTCTGTGGTTGGGCTGCTGATTTGTTAAATTTCAACCCGAACGTACAAGAAAATGAATCGGAGGCCCGATTGTCAGCTTAAGTTAACCTAGTTTACTAAGCCTAACAGTGTGTCAAGTGGATCGTTTTAAGTGCGCATCTAAACGATAAATCACTTTCAGTGGTAGGTATCAAAGCCAAAATTTAAAGGGAACCTCTGCTGTCCTCAGCAAAATCGCAGCGAAAACCGAGATACGCGTATCTGCAGTTTCACTATCGATACGTAGATACGTGCTCTTCCAGAGCATTTTATATTTTGTGACTGAAAGGTTCTTCAAGTGGAAGTAATTTTTTAATAGGAAGTAGGTCCAAGAATAATGAAAGGTATGGAATGCAGAAAAATCAGTACCTGATTCAACAACTGATGTTGGTGTTGAAGCTTCTGTTTCTGCTACTTTAATGTACTGTAGATTTATTCCTTTCTTCTTTAGAAATCTTTTAGAATTATTGTACTTCTGGTACGATTTTCTCTTGGCAGAAATTTTACGTTGATGCCCCAGGTTAACCTGATGAACGCAATAAATGCCGGGCTTCTCGGCAGGAAAAACACATTTGATCGCAAAGGAAAGCTGTACGAACTTAGTTGGAGAGATTTTTTTGCTCGCACTCTCTGATAATAATGGCAGGGTTGCCAGCGACTGGGAAAACCGGGAAAAGTCAGGGGAAAAAAATAAACCGGGAAAAGTCAGGGAAAGTCAGGGAATTTCGGTGTTGGTCAGGGATTTTTCTGATTTTTCGTGGAATTAGGCGCGGGCGGTCTTGGGCTCGCGTTGCGGGATCAACTGACTACTGCGTTCGATTGCGGAGGATGGTGGATCCATACTTAAAAGTCAGGGAAAAATATTGGAAAGTCAGGGGAAAATATTGGAAAGTCAGGGAAAAGTCAGGGAATGGAAAAAAATAATTTGGCTGGCAACCCTGAATTAATGACCAGATGATAATCTGTACCAGTTTTTGTCGGTCTGAATTGGTCAGGAGTTGGTCTCGGGATTCGAGAAGTGCCTGACCATCGGAGCTTTTTTCCTAAAATACCAATGAGATATTTTGCAAGCTCTTCTTTGGACTTTTCTGGAATTTTATCAAAATTACATTCAGTAATCCAGGAATTACAAATAGGATCTTTTCCAGGTTCTTTAGAGGGAGAAGGGACAACTTTTTCGGAACTATTTTTGGATGGGGATCCAATTTTTCCAGGTTCTTTAAAGGGAGGAAGGACAACTTTTTCAGAACTATTTTTGGACAGCATGTGTGGAAGAAAAACGGGAAGTTTTGATTGGAGTTGCGGCGGTTTTCTTATGGACGGCAGACCTGACTGACAATAAAGCATTTCCTATTTGAATACACGTGATTTTGAACGATCTGGACAAGGAGATGGTCCGTTTTCGGTCTTGCGAGAGCCCTCGCCTGTTAAGGTTATTCGATGGACGCCATATTTTGTGTCAGAACGGCATGCGATATATCGCATCAATTGGTTCCATTTCCTCGGCTACTCGTCATTTTTCTCCAATTTTGAGATCGCAATTCTGTTGTCAGGAGACTAAAGCACTCACTTACCAATTTTAACAAAAAAAATTCAACGTAATAAAGGCGTGGTTTTTTCGGAGAGAAAATATCGCATTCGAGTGCAGTTTCGATATCAGTATCGAATGCGATGTTTTCTCTCTGAAAAAACCACGCCTTTAATACGTTGAATTTTTTTTGTTAAAATTGGTAAGTGAGTGCTTTAGTCTCCTGACAACAGAATTGCGATCTCAAAATTGGAGAAAAATGACGAGTAGCTGAAGAAGTGGAACCAATTGATGCGATATATCGCATGCCGTTCCGACACAAAATATGGCGTCCATCGAATCACCTTAAAGGTTACCGTGGTCGTGGCGAAAAGGAAGAGGGGTGGAAAGTGATTGCCGGCTATTGAAAGCCGATTAACTCCGAAAAGGTCGCGGCCGGAGCCCTCCGTGAGAGGAGCTGCCGAAGAACAACAAAATAATAGTAGTCGAGTTTGACACCGGTTGCCGGAACCGCAGAGCTTCCCGCGGGATCCCTAGCCACCGCCGTCGCTTCTTCGCCCGATTTGGCAACACCGGAGGGTTGGGAGCGGACTTCAAAGGACTCGTTTCTTGTAAGTAGTAAATATTTTGGCGAAACACCTGTTCTCCGCAGCTCGAGATCCTTGGAGGTGTGAGATGATGGCCTCTGAGAAATGACTATGGTCTCTTGCCAAGTCTCACCGAAACGCCATACTTTTCACGCAGAATCACCGTGACCGGGTTACACGGTTTCGGCCCAGCGGGCTGATTGTTGAAATGGATAGACAAAGCTGTAGACGAGGAAGATATAGGGAGTATGGAGCGATCCTATTAGTTGAAATGAGTGACTCTTATAGACAAAGGGCGAAAATGATGGACTGGCTTAAGCCACGGAGGAAAAAACATCGTGCGTGAGACCCGAAGTTTAGGTCGTAAGGATCTCTGAAGTTTTCGGATCGAGCATCTGAACACTTTAGGTCTAGCTGTCGAGGTTCGGATCACACATCTGAAACTTCAGTTCTTACATCTGAAGTACTTCATGTTCCTAGGAGTTTTTCGGATGTGAGAACCGAAGTACTTCAGGTATGAAAACCGAAGTACTTCAGATGTAAGAACTAAAGTTTCAGATGTGTGATCCAAACCTCAGCAGCTGGACCTGAAGTGTTCAGATGCTCAATCCGAAAACTTCAGAGATCCATATGACCTAAATTTCGGGTCCCACGCACGAAGTTTTTTTCTCCGTGAGGATCTCTTGTGGGTTGCCGATAGTTAATCTATTACCCATGCCTTTGTCCATTGCAACCACCCGCTTCCACCAACAGGATACTTTCATATCCTTTTAGTCTTATTTGTCTATCGCTTTGTCTACCGATTTCAACAATCAGCTTGCAGTGTGGCAGAAGCTGTGGAATCTGTCCATTGCTGTTTTAGGCAAAATTCTATCCAAGTTTACTAGTTTGTGTTGCGCCAGTTGTTGCGCGAAAACGAGGGTCGACAAGCAGAGCCGCTAATAGCAACACTTGAAAAAAAACACATTGGATCTAGAGCCCAGACTCTTGAAAACATTGACAAGAAAAAGGACTCTTGATTCAATCAGATTTAAGCTTAAATCAAAAGGAAATTCGTTCAAATTAAGAGGCTGCGTTCTTGATTTAAGCTTAAATCTGATTGAATCAAGAGTATTTTTTCTTGTCGATGTTTTTAAGAGTCTGGACTCTAGATACAATGTGTTTTTTTCCAGTGAAACATCTAATTCTGTTTTTTCCTTAATTTATGGCTCATTGTCATTAACCGCTTGCTTTCTCGATTGTCGCACGAATTAAAACTCTCACAGCCTTTTTCAATTTATGAGAATACAGGATAACCTTGCTCATCGCTCCTCAAAGATCGATGTAATGAGATACGTCGTCAGTCAGACTGCAAACATTTGAGTTTCGGCACAATTGATTTGTTTAATGCAAAAATTCTACCTGACGTCACAAAAATTAACTTTTCTTTACTCTATTGAGCGGTTTCTTATTACGTTCGGACGCGTTTCCTCTACTTCGAGCAACCATCAGCAGCTTTTCAACGTCATCTCTTCAAGATTTCCCCGATACTCATTTTCTACAAGAAAAATAGTTCGTGGGAATTTCAAGCTTAATTTTTGGTCTCCTCGCCTCTGATCAAATAATATGAGGTCGGAGATTTTGAAACGCTGCACCCGAGATTCGCGTTTTTGCAGTTTCACTGTTGATATTGATTTTATCTCGGGGGATCTGAAAATGTTCATCCCTCTGTCTGTCTACCTTCCTGTTCGGAGCTCCGTTCTATTATTAAAGTTAATTTAGCCCAAAGAATTTCGAAACAACGCTGAGTGATTGATGTCAAACACACGTCTGAACGTTCCAGTGTGGTACACATCAATATGCCATTCGGCCAAATGTCGGTAGTTTTCCCGCATCCCGCATGCATTTCCGCGTTTTTTGCGTTTTGTATTTATTTTGGAGAGTTGAAACGAATCCGTTTTTCATGCATTGTTTTCACTTGCGTTTATGAAGTATGGAGTAGGTACCTAATCTTTTTGATGCACTTCCGTCTCATTTTTTGAAATTCATGCAGACGATGCAATGAAAACATTGACGTGATTGTTCCATGGGACTGTAACATAGTATACCAAAAACAAAAGTCATTCCTAATAGGAATTAGATGACGGAAGTTGTTCAGTCTCTTGTGCCGTTTGTTTTGATGTTATTTTCGAGCGAAGATGATGATACTTTCGATTGATATTGGAATAATGAGAGGGAACTTAAAACCTCAAAAATATGTCACCAGATGATATGCCTATACGCTTCGTGGATCGCACACCTTCTTCAACGTGGAAAAACTTAATTACCGCTACTGCATCTATAAACTTCTCATTGAGAATTTCTCTTCGAGTTTAGCATCTCCTGATTTTCTTTGGCAACCACAATGCCATTCATTTAGAAACATTTCGGCGGTTGAACTGAAAATACTCTCGTGTTTCATTTTCTCGTATGCTTTGTTTCAAATTCATTGCTTCCATTTTTTTTTTTATCAAAGAAGAGCGAATCATCACTTTGCATCGCGGACTATTCGTAGTTCAAAGAAGTTTGCAGCTTTTGAAACCGACCCAATTACCCAACACAGGTTGCAATAAACTGCATCCTCATGGTAAAATTACTGCTATTGAATCTGAGTGTTGTGTATGCTGTCTGTTCACTGATTGAAGCGGCTCTTCTTGTTACAATATTGCTATAAAATCAAAATTAGTCGCAATTTTTTCTACCTGGCGAATTGCCTACAACTCTAGCACATGGAAGTCATTTTATTGATAGTTAAATAACTGCATTACTTTACAATATGATATAAGAATATTGCAGTTGTATATTATTGCGATGTTATCGCTTGGAACTGCAAAATCATATCAATATTTTCGCTGCACTTTGCTACTTTGAGAGATAAGTGTTTTTGCACTTTCACAGTCATATTCGCACGATCTCTGCAACGGCCTCAACTGGTTTTGAATCTCCGCCATAACACGTTGAGGGCATTGGACTGTGAGACAAGGAGAGTGCCTATATAGAGAGAGTATGGGCACTAAGTTACATGGAGCTCTCGGGATCCAAAAAAATGGCGGCGACTTAAGGTGGGAGCGGGTGAGAAGGGGTTGCTGCCAACCTTTGACGTTTATCTCCTGCTTCACCTATTACCAATCGAGATTGGTAACTTCCTAACCTCTACAATGGCGTGGTCCAAGTTGAGAAGCCGTTTTCAAATAAAATTCACAATATTGGATTCGAAACTGAGTAAATACGCCTACTCTCGGAATTTGACTACACTTTCTGATCGTATTTCTGCCGAACGGAACTATGTGCATTATGACGTTAGATGCATCGTTATGCACATCGTTCCGTTTGGCAGAAATACGTCTATATATGCAAATAAAACCTCATTATCTGCACTTGGGAATGGTCTGCAAGTGACGTTTTTTGGATCCTAAGATGGCTGAGCCAATCTTAAGTGGAATCTTCAGTGGCCACACTCCGTCTTTAAAGGTAATGGCACAGATACACTTGTGAGTTACAAGCGCTTGTTGAAAGTGAAACACCAATTGGAAACCAGGATTTCGATCGCTCGAAGTCGACCTATCGAAATCCTGGATTCCAATTGGTGTTTCGCTTTCAAGAAGCGCTTGTATACTGCCGTGCTAAGGAAAAACGCCGTATGAACCTTTGGGCGTTGCTGAATTTCATTTAGTAAATCGCGAATGTTTAGGAAAATATGTTAACATTTTTCTTTCAATATTTCAGATAACTTTGTTCGCAATTTCACATTAAGTTTCTGAAAATTTCGAGGATTTCTTTAAAAATAAAAATTTTCTCGAGCGAAATTTGGCAACTCTCGAATGTTCATACGGCGTTTTTCCTTAGCATGGCAGTATATCTCGTAGGTGTATTTGCCGCTTAAGTCCTCTGGGACAAGTGACAACGCTGGAGATGGATTTGTTACGGTGGGGAGGCTCACCTCTACAGCGGCCCTTGTGTTTGACGGTGACGTTCTGTCTCTGAAGACACTGGGCCCGGAGCAGGGCGCATCTGTTCTGGTAGGTTTGGTTGTTGGAGCCGCAAATCGGACGCCGCGCCGTCGGGTTCTTCCCTTCACATGCCGCCAACCGCGTGGCGCAGTCTTTCTGCAACAAAAACAAACCCACACTGTAATCAGTACTCCGCATCTCGTCCTTCGCCGCGCACCGCAAGGGTTCAGTACCCCACGGTGACCTCATTGCAGTTACATGCATGTAGAGCCGCTTTTATAGCGCTCTCTGGCGCTCTGCGACACCTAGCCGCCAGATACCCCTATTCTCTCAAAGCTCCTCAGGGAGTTGGCACACCTTCATTTGGACCGCGTTTAACTGAAAGGAACCAAGCCACATCAGCTATTGCCAGAGTTAACTGGACAATTTAATTTTTTACGAGAAAACGTTTGTGCGGATTCTTTTGAAAATTTTAGGGCATTTGCTTCGTACTATGGAGGAAATCCACTGAAATTTGCACGAAAATCCACACAACCGTTTACATGTAAAACATTAAATTGCCCAATCAAATTTGGCACTAGTCGATGTGGCTTGGTTCCTTTCTGTTTGACGAGGTCCATTTCCTCTAAAACCCCCTCTAAACCGTATTACAGTTAATTCAGCTTAATCGAGACAGTGCTTTATTCGGACATAATCACCTGGAACGGAATCTACAACATCCAGCAATGTTAAAATAAAAAAACTCTGCTTTATTGGGTCAGAACTTAGGTTTATCGGAACATTTTTCGCCGTAAAAACGTTCATAACCTTCCGACTCCTTGCTTCGGCTCGTTCGAAAACGCCCGTTGTCCAGTACAGGGTTTCATAATTGAATCAGTATGAGTTCGAAAACACACCAACTCGAAAAAAAAAATTGTTCAGGAAACACCTAAAACTGCGCAGCCGGCGAAGAAGTTACTTTAAGAAAACACTTTTTGGTGTCAAAGGACAAGTACTTAGAGACTTTGTAAAGCACCAAGTTGAAATCTATACACCATGTTTGGTGACTGAGAATTAAGTATTTAAACATTTCCGAGTTGGTGTGTTTTCGTTCTCACCGACTTTCAGAGACTGATATTTTTCATAGTCTGCCCTGAAAAATTTATATTTTTCGACCTGAATGACACTTGAATATTTTTATAACTTGTTGGTACAAAGTATACTGAACCGAAAAAAGAAAACCGCAAAATCGGATGGTCACGCGTTTCCCTTGAAATGGCCAAAACTTGGTATTTCCAATGAAATACTTCGATTCCTCACTTTTCCCGTCGCTGTTTCGAGCACTTCCGATTGCAATTTCGAAATTTCCTTTTGCGTGCAGAGGCTTCTATCCATAAGTGTTACTAAACCGTAAAAAAGTGAAAATCGAAAAAAAACCCGAGTTGGTGTGTTTTCGAACTCACTTATTCAATTGCAGTAGTTACTTGTGCCCCACGACACTGATGCATAATATGGATCTCATTAGTATACGTTAAATTATACTGCTGGGATTTTTTTTAAAATATGAGATCTACATTCCTAACGTCTTAAACCATATTGTGTCTGTAAGTTACAATCAAATCATCCACTCAAATTCTGGAACACTGTATTAGAAATCGGACAGTTTCGCACGAGCCGATTCATTTAGCAGCACTGCAGGGGTAATGGAAAGTGAAAGAGATTCCCGCACTAAATGTGTGTGCCCCACATAACATTGCTTTTCTGAGTTGAAATGATGTTAAATGCCTAAGAAGATTATTTGCGCAAGAAGAAAGCCAGGACGCCCTTACGCCAATGCTTGAAGGGCTAGATGTGTGTTCTGAGCCTGGATTCAACGATAGAAAGCACGTACATCAGCAGTGAAGAATCAGCAATCAGTTATGAACCCAGTAATGGATTCATTTTTTTAAAAAGACTTCGTCGAGGAAGGTATGTGTTTTATATTAATTCCTCAATTTTTACCATTTTCTAGTTTTTTTCGATGTTTTCAGGGAAACTTTGGTTTATCGAGACATTCGCTTAATTGCGGGAGAAAATTGTTCAGTCAATGAACAGTTCCCGTATTAACCAAACTTCTGTGTGTTGAGTTTCATCTTTCACGAGACACTGTTTACTTTTTTTTAAAGTAGTGATCGGGAGTAGAACAATCACGCGAGTGGGGAGATAAACATATTCTGCGATAAACAACGGTGACCCTCAAAGTTGTGGAATTAATGTTATTCTCGCTCCCTCCCCTCCTCTCTCTCTCGCCGATGATCGGATCTCACTTTTCCTAGTTTCTAAATATGAATGAAATGTGACCCTGGTCGGGCTCCTACTCCAAAGGATATCGTATGAGGAACAAGATAACGTATTTGCAGGCATGCGCGCAGGATATAGTAACGGGTAAATCTATCGCAGATTATTCTATTTGTGTCCAGCGCGTATGAAATTCATACCAGGGAGAGCTTGCCACACACGCGTGGGCGCGAATGTTTTAGCGGTAGCTTAGGGTCACGCGTTTCTGGCGCGGTGAAATGATGAGTCACCAAATTGACGTAATTAATGTCCGGTGAAAAATTCGGAATTTAACACATTCGGGGCCTCCATCACTGAGGTCTCGGAGTTTCGGGACCGTCAAGTTAGAATTTTTTCTGGTCGCTTGCCGTCGGAGATACATTTTTCCGGGGCTTTACTGCACTTTCACTAAATGTTATGCACTAAATGCTTTGCACTCAATTCCAGGTCACTTCCCTGCATTTTTTCGAGAGGGGCTTTGTCTTCCAATTTCCTGGATCGTAATTTCCTACAGGGACGAGCTGATTTGGACTTCTCATGTCGATTTTGGCTCCTTCCGCATTTTCCATTTCTACAAATTAATTTCAAAATTATAATAGGAGCCCCGCTTGTCAAAGTGAAAATCTCCCTTCTAGCCCCCCAGGGGAGCCTCAGGATGTCGCAAATCATCTTCCTGACCTCGGATTTTAGGGTCAGTTCACGATTCGCCCACGTCCATCGGACCTAAAATAGCGGAGGGAAAAACCAGGTACGGGTAGTCCAGAACACTCTGTATAATGACACTTTTACTTTCAATATAATAATAATTTTAGCCGTCGTTTTAACTAGTTCCCCCAATTGAGCAAAGTTAGTCGAATCAGACTCGTGCGAGGTATGCCTTCTAAGATCATTCCACAAACATACTATTACGTTATATTTCCGGGTATCCCAGTTCACTCACCACTCGCATTTAGTGGTTAGTTCAGTCAGCGCACTACCCATGCATGAGTTCCGAGAACAACCGCAGGCTGATGCAAAAATTTTCCCGCCAAAAAACCGTGACGATGCGCAGTTGTCAAACCGTATCGTAGATTAGTAGATTTTCCACGAGTCCATCCTCATGCGGAAATCTGAAAACTTGAAGCAAGTGTAAACACAACGCTTCTGCGCGGGAGGAAATCCATTTCAGGCCTTGAAATTTTGGGAAAAGGCGTATCCCATAGTGAGGAATGACGTACTGAAAATTGCTCAAAATCCACGAGGGGGAATTTTTTTTGATTTTGCATACACTCCTCTTTCTGACAAAATCCCGTTTTTTTTTCATTTATCGTTTATTTATTTATTTTTTTTGTGCCTTGTTGGTCGGCTCTTGAACCATGTGATTCAGTTGGCGTGAAAGCGATGCAATGCGTCACGAGCGGAGGATTACCACACCGGTCGGCTTTTGGAACTGGACACTGGTCATCGGAATGAGTCACGGTTAGCGGGCCGAAGGGGGGGTGGGGGCAGGTGGGGCGCGTCGTGGTTGCACTCGAGCGGCGCACAGTTGATCGAGTCGATAGGAGAGGTCCAAAGACATAAAGACGGAGCGCCAAAAGCAAAAAATGAAGCTTCTTTTCAATCACCTCTACTATTGGCTATAGGATTGGCGGCGAAATCGGGACACGTTTGAAATTCAAATGTAGGGCGGGAACAAAGTATTTTAGGTTGATTTTTGCCCAAATTCACTTACACACTCATATTTGTATAACTTTCGGTTAGTTTTGGTCCGTCGTCGACCGATTAATTTCATTTGGGAGTAACTGTCATCTACGACTGTAACGGCCTGTTTGAACCGGCAGAACCACCGTGAGCAGAAGAAAAATTAACTTTATCTGATATTACTGCCTGTTACCGAGCAAAAGTAGGTGTATTATAATAGGACGCAGTCCCAACTTTCTTAATATATTCGTTTTAGGCATTTAAAATACGTTTCGTAGAAGAAAAGTGGAAAAGTCAAGAGGACAAGTTCAAATCAAATTTCTGTTTGCCGCCATGGATTCCCGCGCTCATTTACACACTCACACAAGCACCCAGCGCCAAACCAGGCTTCAATTTTTCCCCGTGCTTTTAGATACGAGCACTCCGTCTTTATGTCTTTGGAGAGGTCGGACCAAATTTTGAAACTTTAAAAGCTTATAAACAATCCCATACAAAACTTTCATGTTTTAAAAGTGGTTCCATTGGATTCCTCATTAAATTGCCTCGCGAAAGCACCCCTTAAAATTTAAAATGTGACCAATTAAACATCAGAATATGCAGTTTTAGTTATAAGTTTCATGTCCGACCTCTCTGATTGACTCGATCCACAGTGCGACGCGCGGCGGGCGCATGAGTCAACGAGCGTGGAGCATTGCGGTGCGGTGGTAGCACTGTGCTACCGGCTTCAGGAAAAATCCCCTATGAACCTTTGTCAGTTGCCAGATTTCCTTTCATCAAATACAAATCTTCCGGAAAACTCGTCAATATTCTCCGTTCAATTTTTGGAGAATTTTCTTCGTAATTAAATCTAAATTGGACCGCGTTAAACAGAAAGGAACCAAGCCACATCAGCTATTGCCAAATTTAATTGGGCAATTTAATTTTTACATGAAAACGGTTGTGTGGATTTTCGTGCAAATTTCAGTGAAAATTCTCCGTGGTGCGAAACAAATTCCTTAAAATGTTCAAAGGAATCCGAACAACCGTTCTCTCGTAAAAAATATAATTGCCCAGTTAAACTTGGCAATCGCTGATGTGGCTTGGTTCCTTTCTGTTAAACTCGGTCCAATTATCTGATTTCGAGAGGAAATATTCAGGTTTTCCTCAGAAATAAATACTTCATAGGAGGAAATCTAATAACT